GTGTGTGGGAGAGAGAGAGAGAGAGAGAGAGAGAGAGAGAGACAGAGAGAGAGAGAGAGAGAGAGAGAGAGAGAGAGAGAAAATGTGCAGGTGTCTGTGGAAGCCTGCAGCAAAGAAGAACCATCACGTTTTCTCCTTGGCTGTCTGTTTACCTGTGGAACACTGACGCTTGCTCTTCCCTCAGCTCATAGTCTGACTGGGGAAGGTGATGTTTCACAGAGGGACCCCAGAGTCAAGCTGCCTACCTCCCACCTCTGCCCTTGATCATGAAACTTGGACACATTGCCTCTCTCTTTGAAACGGGGTCAGTGAGGAAGCTGAGAAAAAGGCCTTGGAAAAGGCCAAGGGCAAGTCTCTGATGGCCACTCTGGCTCTCCTCTGGTCCCTTTGCCCTGTCCTCCTCCTCTTCCTCCTCTTCTTCCTCTTTTGCTTCTGTCTCTGATGTCTCCTGACTCTTTGGTTATCTGATACCTTCTCCTTACCCTGACCCAGAGAGTATGCCAAGGTTTACCATGTGCATCCCATCCCCTCGCCCAGGAGCAAGTATGTGGCCTGTGCGGGAACTTTGATGGTATCCAGAATAATGACTTGACCAGCAGCAGCCTTCAGGTGGAGGAAGACCCCGTGGACTTTGGGAATTCCTGGAAAGTGAGCTCACAGTGTGCTGACACCAGCAAGGTACATCTGGGGCCATGTGGATGGAGCCTGAGGGGCCTGCTTCCTGGAGGGTCCCCCTGTAGGGGGCATGAGTGGCAGGTAGTGGCAGGGTCAGGGAACGGAGCCTCTTGTACTCTAATGGGCTAAGTACCTCCAGCACGGCTGCCTAATGTCTGGCCCCTCTGTGTACTTTTCCCTGTTCCCAGGTGCCATTGGATGTGTCCCCCGCCACCTGCCATAACAACATCATGAAACAGACAATGGTGGATTCGTCCTGCAGAATCCTCACTAGTGACATCTTCCAGGACTGCAACAAGCTGGTGAGGCCTTGAGGGTGGAGGGAGGCAGAAATGTCAATGGGCTGTGGACACCTAGACTGTGAAAATGTAGTGTGAGCACTAACTACCGCAGAACCTTGAAACAATTCACACGGAGACCCCGCTCCGGCCCTTTCTTGGCTTCTAGGCCTCTGCCTGCATTCGCCTTTTGTCTTTTGTCTTAGGATCTGTTCCCCTTTGTGTTGTCTCCAATGTCAGAGCCAGGGAGTCCCTTTATTATTGCTTGTGTGTCCAGACCTAGTCAGAACCTCCCTAACCATCAACAAACAAGTACAGCAGCAGACAACCCCTTCACGCCCAGTTCTCCTCTCACAGAAACTTTTTCTGGCTTTAATTACAGTGACTTTGGGGGTCTTAGTTTCTTGACTTCGTTTCTTTTTGTCTTTATCTCACACGATTGTGAGGAATCCCTTAAGTTAGTTAAATATGAGTTTTTCTCTACATTTGTGCATGGATACACAGGCATGCATGTGAGCATGGGTGTGTACACACTTAGCCATACGCACACACCTGCTGCTGTGCGACATCATCAACATGGGAGTGATTAGTATCTCAATTCTTTAGCTAGTCAAAGATTTTTAGTTCATGAGTACTCCAAAAGTACTTAGGTCTCCATGGTTTGATGACATCTGAGTGGGAAAAGCGAAGCCAGGGAGAGGACTCAGGGAACTCAGGTTGTTGAAATGTATTGGGAGCAATGGTTCATTGTGTGTGTTCATTTCGTCCTTAACTACTCTGAAAAGCTCAAACTGTGTAGAAGTAGCATGTTTGGGGGACAGAAAAGATAGGATGTGGTCATTGTGCGTGAATACAGCAATAGGTGGACTCTCCTCCCTCCAGATAGACTTGGGTCGGAGCCTAAGGTTGTCTAGCTGGGTCCCACTGTCTGGCTTCATAGCTCTTCAGTGATGCAGCTTGTGTGGGTTCTGATGCATTTCCGCATTCTGTTTGCTGCACTGGGGCAAGGAAGGAGCATGGTCAGCCTGTGTGTGTCTATATAAAAACAACCCCACATTCATGGTTACAGGCAGCTATGGAGGTAGGTAGAAGATGGACAGAGGGACTCTCTTCTGGAAAGTTCTGAAGGTTGCCAGCCCTACTCTATTCAGTGTATCTTGCTGGAATCTAGATCCGAAGTCATGAATTTTGCCTTTTTACCCATTCCTTCTCTGTGATCTGTGACCTACATTTCTTTTATTCTGGAAAGAATCCCCTTATCCTTTGCACTCCAATCATAAGCCAGAGTTCGAGCTCCTGGCTGTAGGCTGAGGCCACCTGAGGTTCCCTTTGCAGGTGGACCCTGAACCATACCTGGACGTCTGCATTTATGACACTTGTTCTTGTGAGTCCATTGGGGACTGCGCCTGCTTCTGTGACACCATTGCTGCCTACGCCCACATGTGTGCCCAGCGTGGCCAGGTGGTAGCCTGGAGGACGCCCACATTGTGCCGTGAGTTCTCAAGTCTCCCTATAAGTACCCAGGCTTGAAGGCCTGTGGGGGCAGGAGAGCACTCTCATGGGTAAGAGGAACAGCTTCAGTGTGCAGACGGACAGACAAGGACTGAAGGGAGTAAGGTGGTGAGGTGAGAGAGGAGGTCACTTTAAGAGTGAGCTGGGACGTGGATCCCGAGGAGGGCTCAGATAGTGACGTGGGTTTATGGAGTGTGAGTGGGGCCATGGATTCAAGACTTTGATATGTGGAGACTTCTGGAAAAATTCTAGAAGGAGAACAGTGGTGGAGAGAAGAAAATGTGTATTTATTTAGATGCGATCACACCTTCCACAATGAGGTCAACTCTCACATTTAGAGACTGCCTTCCTTGAGCACAGAAAACGTCAAGGTTTTGGGTATCAGATATCTAGATCCTTGGTGTTGATGCTTAGAACAAAAATCCAGACGTCTCCATTATTGGTGACTCTGGGAGTCATTAGTTCCTCAGTGTAATCATGGTTTCCTGTCAGTCCCTTGCAGTCAGCAAACTGGTCTTCTTGGGTCTGCTTGGGGCCTTCTCTGTAGCCCTGGTTCATGCTTCCACAGTCACAGATTTTTCCTCTGTCTCCACAGCCCAGAGCTGTGAGGAAAGGAATGTTCGAGAAAATGGCTACGAGTGTGAGTGGCGCTATAACAGCTGTGCACCTGCTTGCCCAGTCACATGCCAGCACCCTGAGCCGCTGGCTTGCCCTGTGAAGTGTGTGGAGGGCTGTCACGCACACTGCCCTCCAGGTGAGGCTTCCCTCTGATTGGGGTGTGTTGGAGGGGTCTTAGGACAGGTGCTCCTACTCTTGCTTTATCTTGGTCTCTCTCTCCATCCTCAGGGATGCCCTCTCTCTCCATCCTCAGCCCTGCCATAGGCCTGTTTCCCTAGATCCCTTCAGCAAAGCCAGGCCAGCTCTGATTTTCGACAAGTAGGGCTCCTCTCAAAACCTACCCACACCCTTTGTTTTTGTAGTACTGGGCATGAAATTCTGGCCCCCTGTGCTCTTCTACCTAGATACACCCCATCCTTTCCTATAAAAGTCTTTTGTGGGTCTATTTATAGGTTTATCATACAGAGTAGTCCCTCCCTCCCTCCCTCCCTTCCTTCCTCTTTCTTTTCTCTCTTTCTCTCATTTTTTCTCTTTTTTGAGAGAGAATCTTGCTATGTACTCCAGGCTGACCTCAAATTCATACTCTTCCTTCCTCAGCCTCCTGAGTTAGAGAAGCACTTTCTGACAGAACTTTCTGAGTTGTGGGAATGTTCTAGAATTCAGTGGTGGCTTGTAGGTTGGAGGAACTGACTTTCTCTTTTCACTGAATTTTGTTTAAGTTTAAACAGCCCTATGGAATTATTGACTGTCATGTTGGACAGCACAGCTCTAAAATTACTGAGTCCACACTTTGGGAGTGGGGCAAACTCCTTGGAGGGAAGATTTCATTTGTCCTAAGGCTTGGGGGACAAGAGGTGTGGTGAAGGAACTCCCTCTCATCTTCTCAGAGGGGAAGTCAAGACACAGAGGGGGAAAGATGCTTCCTTTGTAGGACATGACCATTGGGGAGTGGGCTTCTGGGACAGATCCCTTTAGTAATAGGTGGATCTGTCTTGTGTGAAAGGCAGTCAATTGGCTTCTAATGAGGTATGTTATGCAGGAAAAATCCTGGATGAACTTCTGCAGACCTGTGTGGACCCTCAGGACTGTCCTGTGTGTGAGGTGGCTGGTCGGCGCTTGGCCCCAGGAAAGAAAATTACCTTGAATCCTGATGATGCTGTGCACTGTCAGATTTGGTAAAACAGATTTCCTGGCTGGTTGTCTCCCCTGTGGATACTCAGAGGCTGGGTTCTAGAAAACATCTCACAACTGCAAAGAGCTGAGATGCCAAGCTTAATTAGTTCCTTCCTTCCTTCCTTCCTTCCTTCCTTCCTTCCTTCCTTCCTTCCTTAGTTCATTGTTGGGTTTGTTTCTAGTTTGTTTTTCTTTAGGAGTTGCTGTCCCTATAATCTTTCTAAAGAAGTCCTTATACTTCCTAAGAGTTTTTACTTTTTCTGTGGAAAACAGAGTATGGATTCTGTCTCTCAATATGTAACACATGTACATTTTGGAGGAATATAGTGTAATATCTCAACATACATATGCAGCATGTGTGTTCAGATCAGGGTAATCAGCATTTTTATTTCCTTATTGTGTTTTTATTATTTATTTATTTATTTATTTATTTTCATTTTATGTGTATGAGTGTTTTGCCCTCATGGGTGTAAATGTACCTCATGTTTTCAGTGCTCAAGGACTTCAGAAGGGGGTGTCAGATCCCCTGGAACTGGAGTTACAGATGATTGTTAGCCATCATGTAGGTGCTGGGAACCCAGGTCCTCTGCAAGAGCAGCTAGGGTTTTTAACTGCTGAGCCATCTCTCCAGCCCCCCCTTACCATGCCTTTATGACCGTTATGATAACTGGATGTCATGTCTAGTCCGAGGACAGACATCTATGAAAGGCTTTTATAGAAGGAGAGGATGCAGGGTGGAAAAGGAGATGGAGTTCTTGACTCTGTGGTATGACTGTGACACATATCTGGGGGCTGTGGTCCAGGCCACAGGACGTGGCTTTCAGAACTGAGAGAGAAGACATTTGTTGCTGTCACCCTGAGCTCTCGCTGGAGCCAACTCTGGGAACCTGGCTTTGGGGAGGTGAGGAGCCCTCAGGGTGAGTTCTGGACTCTCTGAAGTCCTGCCCTTAGGTAGGGAACATTTATTAAAATGCTGACATCGTCAGCACCACTCCCTGACACCAGTCAAGCCGAATGGGAACTTAAACTTGAGAGCTTCAACTAGCTGGGGAGGGACTGTGGCCACAGCTGCCAGAGCCAGATCCTGCCGCCACCATCTGTACAAACAAGAGTGAGCACTGCCCAGGGTGAGTTTTCTAACAAATACAGGAAACCAGGATGTATGTCACTCACGCACTGCTAACCAAGGGTTGAGGTAATAAATCATGGGGATTATAAGCAAGTAGGAAAGAACTTCCCAGTAAGACCCTGGCTGCCCGCCCCATGCGCAAACTGAGCCTTGAAGAATGGAATGGGAGAGTTCACTACAGGCTTGGGGTGCTTAGCTCAAAGGGCATTAGAGTTCCAAGCATCCCTTACCTCCTCAGCTGACATGCAGAGAGGGGCAGCTACCACTGCACACGTTGGTATGCACAAGATTTCCAAGATGGGTTGGGGCATACAGGGCTCAGGCCACTGCCTCCTCAGTCTTACTGGCAGGCAGAAGATCAAAGTTTCAGAAAGGAGGAGGCCTAGCCTGTATGGGTCTCTACCACAGGGCATCTAGATTTCCCCTGTGGCCTGGCATACGGTTACTTTCTGGAACATAGGTGAAAGGGTGAAGTGACCAGAAGAGCCTGGACATTTCTCTGTACTATAGGAATTTGTAGGTTGGGCAGTGATCTGACACAGACTTTTGAGTGTCTCGCTGCTGGGCCCAGGGCCAGCCAGCACCTGGCAGATATGAAGTATTCACCATCTGCCTGTGGACAGAACGGATGACTGTCCTCCTAGATCTAACACCTGGAAAGCCTTGCCTACGCCTCCCGTGCTCTTTGTTCTGCTAGCCGAAGTTGGGGTTTTCAACCCTTTATTCATCTTCCCTCTTACTCTAATTTTGTTTCTTTTTCCTCAAGGCCCAACTTATTAAACACGGTTCAACATTCACACAGCTTAAATTCTAATAACCATTTATAATGGTTTCTAATGTAAACCATCCCTATTTAATAGAACATTTACAAGTCTAGTCGGTGCCAGCATTTCAGAATGATATTTGTCCTTGGAGATACTTGTAAGAAGGTTTGGATCATAATTGAATATTAATGTGGCTAGAGGTGTAGATTGGAAAGAAATCAACATTAAATGGCTATGGATGGATTAGAGCAACCGGGATGATTTTTCAGGTTCTAAGATGAATTAAAGTGTTGAGACACCTCTGCTCTGTGTGGGTGTATGTCTATGTGTGTGTGCTGGTGTCTGTGTGACATACTGTCTTGGGACACATGTTAAAGTGACATCTCACTTGAGGTGGGGGCATGCTCCATGGGAATAAGCAGGGAGGCTCTGTGGGAGACCTGTGCAGTGGTCCTGCCTGGCCACAGGCTCTTCCTGAATCTTTGGTTTCTTCCCCTTCTGCCACAGTCACTGTGATGGTGTCCATCTCACCTGCAAAGCCTGCCAGGAACCTGGAGGCCTGCTGGTGCCTCCCACAGATGCCCCGGTCAGCACCACTACGCCATATGTAGAGGACACGCCTGAGCCACCGCTGCACGACTTCTACTGCAGCAAGCTGCTGGATCTGGTCTTCCTGCTGGATGGCTCCTCCAAACTGTCTGAGGCTGAGTTTGAAGTGCTTAAGAGCTTTGTGGTGGGCATGATGGAGAGGCTTCATATCTCTCAGAAGCGCATCCGTGTGGCCGTGGTGGAGTACCACGACGGTTCCCATGCCTACATTGAGCTCAAGGCTCGGAAGAGGCCCTCAGAGCTGCGGCGCATTGCCAGCCAGGTGAAATATGCGGGCAGCCAGGTGGCCTCTACCAGTGAGGTCTTGAAGTACACGTTGTTCCAAATCTTTGGCAAAATTGACCGCCCGGAAGCCTCCCGTATCACGCTGCTCCTGACTGCTAGCCAGGAACCCCCACGGATGGCCCGGAATTTGGTCCGCTATGTCCAGGGCCTGAAGAAGAAGAAGGTCACTGTGATCCCTGTGGGCATTGGGCCACATGCCAACCTCAAGCAGATCCGTCTCATTGAAAAGCAGGCCCCTGAAAACAAAGCCTTCCTGCTTAGTGGGGTGGACGAGCTGGAGCAGCGAAGGGATGAAATTGTCAGCTACCTCTGTGACCTTGCCCCTGAGGCCCCAGCCCCCACCCAACTTCCTCAGGTGGCGCAAATCACTGTGGGTCCAGGGCTTTTTGGAATTTCATCACCAGGACCCAAGAGGAAGTCCATGGTTCTGGATGTGGTGTTTGTGCTGGAGGGGTCAGACAAAGTTGGTGAAGCCAACTTCAATAGGAGCAAGGAATTCCTGGAGAAGGTGATCCAGCGCATGGACGTGGGCCAAGACGGCATCCACATCACGGTGCTGCAGTACTCGTATATGGTGACTGTGGAGTACACCTTCAACGAGGCCCAGTCCAAAGGGGATGTGCTGCAGCAGGTGCGGGAGATCCGTTACCATGGTGGCAACAGGACCAACACAGGGCTGGCTCTGCAGTACCTCTCCGAGCACAGCTTCTCTGCCAGCCAGGGGGACCGGGAAGAGGCACCTAACCTGGTCTACATGGTCACAGGAAACCCTGCCTCTGATGAGATCAGGCGGTTGCCTGGAGACATCCAGGTGGTGCCCATTGGAGTGGGTCCCCATGCTAACATGCAGGAGCTGGAGAGGATCGGCTGGCCCAATGCTCCCATCTTCATCCAAGACTTCGAGACACTCCCCCGAGAGGCTCCTGACCTGGTTTTGCAGAGATGTTGCTCTGAGGAGGGGCTGCAGCTGCCCACCCTCTCTCCGACTCCAGGTATGCCAGCATCCTCTGTGTGATGGCCTTGGAGCTGTGTGCATCTGGAGATGATATAACCCCTGGGTTCTAATACCAGCTTCCTGGCTCTGAGCACATGCTCAAACACCTGCCTCAGCCCATCTGTTTCTTTACCCCCCTGGCAGAGAGCTGCACTGTGATTCTTTTGGGAAAGATGACCGTTTCTTATTGTGTGAGCTTGTAAATTTAAAGGTGACAGGAGTCCTTTGCTAAAATTTAAACAATGCCAAGAATATTTAGTAAAAAATTCAAGTCTTCTTAACCATCTACTTCCATGCCCATCCAAACCCCGTCACTCCTAATGGTCTCCTTCTTCTCTTCCTCTCCTCAAATAGCCTTCCTTGTGTGTGTGTGTGCGTGTGTGTGTGTGTGTGTGTGTATAGATCTTAGATTCTGCATATGATCAAATTTCTTCACATTCATCTTTGTCATTTTTATTTAACATGATGATCTCCAGTTCCATCCATTTTTCTGCAAATGGTGTGACTTCATTCTCCACTGTGTGCAGATACCATGTCTTTTGAAGGACACGGCCTGTTTTCTGGTTATGCTGCTGTTCCATTTATTTTCCCTTATATCATTCAGTTTTAGACCCAAGAACACATAAGCCCATTTTCTTTCCTTTATAATTGCTTTAGTTCATTCACAAATGAGGGGTCTTATTGCGACATTTTCATACATATATATCTTCGTACTTTGTCCCATCCTACCAACCTCCCCTCTCCTCCTGCTGGTCCCCTTCCTACCCACAAATAGCCCCAGTTACTGTTCCTGAGAAAGTGGCAGCTTTTGCATTCATTTACAGGCATTTACACTTACTGTGGATGGAGCTGGAGTCTTTGCAATGGCTCTCAGCCTAGAGAGCTCATGTGTTGAGCGTGGCTGGAGGCCAGTTTCTTGCTGGCACCCGTATACTCACCTTCCTTGTCCTCTTCATAGACTGTAGCCAGCCCCTGGATGTGGTCCTCCTCCTGGATGGCTCATCTGGTTTGCCAGCTTCTTACTTTGATGAGATGAAGAGTTTCGCCAAGGCTTTCATTTCAAAGGCCAACATTGGTGAGTGATATACCTGGAGCCACAAGCAAGGGACAGGCTTTTCCCTGGGCTCCACTTGACTCTAAACATTTCCCCTCTTCCCTTCTTGTCAGGACCTCACCTTACTCAGGTGTCTGTGCTACAGTATGGGAGCATCAATACCATCGATGTACCATGGAACGTGGCCCAGGAGAAAGCCCAGCTACTGAGTCTGGTGGACCTTATGCAGCGGGAGGGTGGCCCCAGCCAAATTGGTAATGTTGGAGCCGTGGACTGGACATGGAACCTGCATTCTGGTCTAGGGTCTTGGCTTAAGTGACTGAGTGGTCTTGTCCAGTAAATTTAAGTTTCTTATTCAGGACAGTGAAGGGCTTGATGCTCTTTAATGTCTCTTCCAGATCCCACCATGTGCTTCCCTGAGTCAGAATTATTCAGCTTTTGAATGATCCAAGGATCTTCCCCCCGTTCTTAGACTGTCCTCCTTCCTCAGGGGATGCGTTGGCCTTTGCGGTGCGCTATATCACTTCCCAAATCCATGGTGCCAGGCCCGGAGCTTCCAAGGCCGTGGTCATCCTTGTCATGGACACCTCCATGGACTCAGTGGATGCAGCAGCTGATGCTGCCAGATCCAACCGTAAGTGTCTGGTGTGCAATCCTGAGACTCTGCTTGGCAGAGCGAATGTGGGTGGGCTTCCTTTTAGATACTCTGGCTGACTTTTGATAGGCTTGACACTCACGTGTGGCCTGGTTTCAAAAGTGTGAAATTGTTTGATCATGATGTTATTTAGAAACCAGGTAACAGCAAATGTGTGTTTTGCATCCTTCCGATGGTGACCTTTGTTGCTTCATATTTTCTTTCATCTGCTCAGGGTTGAGCATATAATACCTCTGTGCCTTTTCCTTTAAAAATAATGATACTGGTTTTTCTCCTAAACCCCATGTCCAAGGCCAGAGTGATTAACTGTGGGTCCTTGCAAACGGTCAGGACTTTCACGCATCTAGAACCCTTTCCTGGTACCAGGCTAATGAGCTTTCAGGGTCTGTGGGGATATTTTGGGCAGGGGAATGGTATGGCGTGACCCAGTCTTTGGGCCCCATGAAAACCTGTGCTTGGAGTGTCAAGAGAATGTGAGGCAGGATGGTGGTACAGTGTTGAGGGAGGTCTGAGAGAGTGAGGTGATACCAAGGCTCCTCATGGTCAGAAGAGAACTGCTTATTTTTCAAACCTTGCCTCCCAAGTCTTTTTCTCTGACATTTTCCTGATATCTTATGCCTGAGTGTTCATGCTATTACCTGAATTTCATTTGAATAACTCAAAATGTTCAAATCCTATTGTATGGTGTTAATTTGTCATCTGTCTGTTTCTGGTACAAACTGGGAGTTCTGTGATGGGCAGAATCTTGTTAATTTTTTAAATATCATCTGTGCATGACGCAAAACGTAGATGACCATTATTATTTGGTAAATGAATAATAAAATCTGTTTTTGTGATCTATTGTTGTAGAGAAAGGGTATCAAAAGGAAAAGGACATTTATGTGGATGGTATGATGAGCTTATAAGAGCTGAGGAAGTGCTAGTAGAAAATGGCTCTAATCACTCCTTTCCCCCTTCTCTTGGCTTCTCCTTCTCCTTCTTGACATAGAGTCTCACTATATAGCCCAGACTGGTCTAGAACTCATTATATAGCTCAGGCTTGCCTGGAACTTGCTATTCTCCAGCCTTAGCCTCATAAGTACTTGGGTTATAGACATGATCCACCATGCCTGGCTTTGGCTCTGATCTTAAGCAAATTGCAAATATCTAGAACTTTTTGGAGAGCTGAATTGAAGAACTTCAGGATGGGTATTTTCTCCCATTAATATTAAGAAGAATTGAAAGGAATATTGCCACCAGAAAAGGGAAGCAAAGCAGTTAAGATCTAGAGAAAATGGACATGATCCAGGGCAAGTCGTTGAATGATTTAAAGCCTTGATTTGCATTTTATCTTCTCATCTTTTTTTTTCTTACAATTTTGGGCATTGAGCCCAGGGCCTTGTACATGTTAGGAAAGCACTGTACCACTGATCTATGTCCTTAGCCCCAATTTCTCCTCTTACACTCATCCTCTTTGGTGATCTCATTCAGTATCATGGGTCTAAATACATTTATGGACCATTGACTCTGAAGTTCCCATCTCTAGCTGAGACGTTTCACCGCAGCTCAGATTAGATCTTATAATAGGCAATTTGTTACCAACTAAACTGAGTTTCAATAAAATTTCCTTCTTTTTAATATAATTTATTATTTATATTTTTTGTGTATGAGTGTATTGCCTGCATGTATGTAAGTCCATCTATGTCATGCATTGCCTGTGGAGGTCAGAAGAGGGCATCAGATTTCCCTGGAAATGGAGTTACTGACTGTTGTTAGCTACCATGTGGGTGCTGGGAATCGAACCTGTGTCCTCTGCAAAAGCAGTCAGTGCTCTTAACTACTGAGTCATCTCTCCAGCCCCCAAATTTCCTTTTTTTGGGTAGTCTTTTTCACCCATCAAAATTGCTTAGGTTAGACATCTCAGCCCCTGAGTCCTCTTTTTCTCTCATGTCCAACCCATCAAATGTATCGGGAATCACACTACTGCAAGACACATCCACACTGTGGCCCCATTTGTACCCCACCATCACATACCTGAGAGACTGCAATAGCTTTCTCACTGGGGCCCAGGCTCCTGCTCTTCCAGCTCTTCCTCCACCCAGCAGCTGTGCAGATCAGCTCCCTCTGCTCCCCTACAGTCTTGGCTTTTTGTCCCTTCAGAGAAGACATCCAGGCCGTGCTGTGGCAGAGGAAGCTTTGCACATTCCCAGCTCCACTCTTTCTCTTTCTTGCCCATCTTTGTGCCCTCCTGCCTCTGCTAGGGGCCTTTATACTCAGTGCTTTTATGCTTGGGACATTTCTTCCCCAGTGGTCTTCTTGGGTCCGTCCATCCTTATTTCCGGTCTCTCTTCAAGGGCCATCTTTTCATTAAATGCATGTTCCTACTCCTCCCCCAGACATTTCTGTCCTCCTCATCCCATAGTTTCCCCAAGCAGCTATCCACATCTGAAAATGTTATGAATTTTCCATTTTCTGTGCTTGTTATCCATCTTTCCCTAGTGTAAGCTCCAGGAGGAGAAGAGACAGGGACTCAGTCTTCTGGCCATGCTCCCATTGCTCAGAATGGTGCCTGGCACTCTGCGTCAGCTCCTTCTATTTGCTTCCTCAGTGAACGTCCGCCTTACAGGGTTGCTGTACGTGGCCAGTCTGGAAAGCATGAGGCTCTGAAAGGTGTTAGGCATGGTATGTATTTTGGGCCCACCTGACCACAGGCCCTGTCTCCTTCCTTTATTAATTTAGGAGTGGTGGTATTCCCCATTGGGATTGGGGATCGCTATGATGAAGCCCAGCTGAGGGTCTTGGCGGGTCCACAGACCACTTCCAACATGGTAAAGCTCCAGAGAGTTGAAGACCTCCCCACCATGCTCGCCCTGGGAAATTCCTTTTTCCACAAACTATGCACTGGTGAGTCTTCTATTACCTCTCTCTAGCCCTTCAAACAATGACAACATCCACAACAACCAAACCAGAAAAGCTTTAAAAACAAAAACACCATTTTAAAGACGCAAGGATGTCTATGTATGATATTTAGTTTAAGATCAAGATTATCTTATGGACAATCTGTTATTTCTCACTGACCTTTAAATTTGTGTCTGTGGAAGGTGTATACTACAATGTCCGGGGACCACTGCAAAGTTTACTGTGTATAATTCTCTGTTCACGTTAACTGTCTATCTGACTTACTAAGCAGAGAAAGCCATGGCTCGTTTGTGCAGAGGGACCTTGGACAAAAGAATTGGTTGGGGGCCATAAGCAGGGAACCCTGGCATCCTACAGATTATGATCATTCACTCTCAGTTTGAGTATAAAGGGCTTTAGAAATACAACATCAAATCTAATATTGGAGGACCATAAATGAAGCTTATTTTAGGTTAGAATTAAAAAGATACATTTATTTTTCTTATCTGGCTTTATATACTTTGTTAATGTAATTAGTTTTAAGTTAAAACCTTCTTCAGAGTTACTGACCTTTCCTGATAGATGGTAACAATCTTGGTATCAATCTTTAAGCAGTTCTTTTTCAAGTTTTCTGGATCTTGTTTCATACCTCAACACCCAATCCTGACAGATATAAAAGGCGATAATGACTGTATGACTGTGGAAGTTACTGTTATGTATTGTTATCTTAACTATTAATTAATATAAAGTATGTCTGCAGGACTGCAGGATGGTCACCTCTTACTTAGACTTGTGTCTGTCCTCTTGTCCCTCTGTAAAGCCCACTCAGATCCTTTTTAGAGTCTGACTAACAGACATTGGGAATGGTTTAGAATGCCTGGTGATACGTGGTGACTAGAATCTTCTTTGTGTCTGTTTCAGGGTTTGCTAAAATTTGTGTGGACGAGGATGGGAATAAGAAGAGGGTGAGTCCCTTTCTGTTGACTTGTGAAGAAAATTCAGAAATATGTGTTTGGGACACTTGTTCTCACTGACTAATTTTACCTCTTTTGGTCTTAGTCACTGCTTGCTATTAGCTTGTTTTGGGGATCCTTCTGTAAATCTTGTGACATCTCATGCCTCATGTATAGCCAGCCCCCTTGATGCCAAGGCTGCTGTCCAGTTCTAACCCACGTCCTCAGAGGTGGGCAGTTGTGTGATAGGTGAACTTAGTGCTTGTGTGCCTCATCGTACTCCTTTTCCAAATCATTTTTTTCCTTCTGCAGCCTGGGGATGTCTGGACTTTGCCAGATCAGTGCCACACAGTGACCTGCCTGCCAGATGGACAGACCTTGCTGCAGAGTCACCGAGTCAACTGTGACCAGGGGCTCCGGCCTTCATGCCCCAACAGCCAGTCCCCTATTCGGGTAGAGGAGACCTGTGGCTGCCGGTGGACCTGTCCCTGTGAGTCCTTCACTTCCCTAGCCTGGGTAGTTGAGGATCAAGGTTTTAACTCCTGTGTAGAAACCAGACTGAAAGCGAATAGGTAGAAGTACCCATCCCTCCCCACTGCATCACCATCCTGCCTTCATGCGCTTTTCCTCCCATGGTCTCTGGATGTGTTTTCACCCAGCCTCAGAAATCCCTGCTCTGTGCCTTTGGGAGTCACTTACTTCCCTAGATAAAGCATAACCCAAAGGAAGCATTGCTTTTCTGAAATCTGTGTTCATCCTGGCCATTGGATGCCAACCCTTAGGAATCTGTGTCTGTAAATCCCTGTTGGGGTGTGCCAGGGGAAGTAAAGCAGTGTGAGAGGTGAGGTATCTCTAGAGAACACCCTTCACGTCTATTTCTGTGTGGGGCTGAGTGCCACGGTACACAATCAAGTGACTTGCTATAAGAGTTGGACATAGGTCCGTCTCCTGTAAGTCTGTGGTGAGTGTTCATCTGGGAAGGGGCAGCTCTGTGCCTCACTGTTGGGAGAATGGTTCTGGGATGATCTCAATTGTGGGGAGCTTGTGCTCTTATGGGAAACAGACATAATTGTGGGATACCATCAGAACAGCTTCATATCTCACTGGCCCTTTAGAATTTATTGGCTGGGATAAATGTCCCTGCTGGCCTAGATAAAAACTATCCCAAACCTCATGCTATTTCTGTTTATTCATAAAGAATTGGATGGTCACTTTTCGGTCATCAGACAGTCTCTGTTGATAACTAGATGGTTGTTACTGTGCAGTAATTGAAACATTGAGCTCGCTTAGAGTTAAAATACCTGTGCAGATAGTTCTGCGGCCTGCCTTTGAGAAAAGAGTGTGGACTGTTTGTCTCACAGCTTGAAGCATGCAGAAGGGGTGGATAGGGTGAGATGGTCCTGCATGGCTGGTTGCTGTATGGGGCTCTGCACACTCTGGCCTTGCAGATATTGACAGCAGCCTCTCTCCTGCCAGCCCTCTTGAGGCTTTCCCAAGCCCTGCACTGGACTTCTCCAGTACTTGATTCTGGTTTCAGTAGGTGGGTTAAGCTCATATTCATTGTTTCCACAGTGTGTTTTATTTCACTCTGTTGTCATTTGAAAAAGGCAATTTTTGTTGTTATATCTGACTTTGGCTCTTCCTGTTTGGGTTTTGTATTCTTTGCCTTTTATTCTTAAATATTTCTTTGTTGGTGTTTAAGAAGGTTTATATTTGTCTCCTGTTATCACCTTATATTAACCCCTTTAAAATGTTCTCAGTTCATTTTTCTTACTTACTAATTGGCTGATTGGATTATCAATTTCTAGGAATGCCTTAGACCTCTCTGTTGCCTGCACAGCACTGGGGTGACTCTATTTTCTTTATCTTTCCCTCCACTTTCCAAGTACATGACTTCTACTTGGCCACAGTACACATATTTGTATATTAGTCTTCCACTATTCTTTTCTTTCAGCTTTAGATCTGTGATTATCTAAATAAAAATGCTTACTTTGGGGGCTGGAGAGATGGCTCAGCGGTTAAGAGCACTGGCTGCTCTTGCAGAGGACCTGGGTTCAGTTCCCAGTACCCACATAGCAGTTAACAACCATTCATAACTCCAGTTCTAGAGGAGCCAATGCCCTCTCCTGGCCACTCTGGGCATTGCATGCCTGGGTGCAGTTACATACATGTAGGCAGCATACGCACATAAAGTTAAAAAAAAAAGTAAAAAATAAAAATAAAACAACTCACTTTAGCTGTTTCAATAGCATTTTCTAGTCAGCTCTGGATCAGAGGAATCTTGTCTACTAGAAGTTTTCTCAAGAAGGGCTCGTGGGTCCAGAGTCCCATTGTTCTCCCACACCCAAAGCTGCTTTCCTGTAGCTTGGGCGCTAATGGAGTGCCTCAGCTGCCTGTAAAATTCTTGATTACCTCACTATTTCTGGAAAATGCTGCTCCATTGTTGCTTGGCTTTGCACACTGCTTTGGAATTTGGGTACTAATCTAATTCTCCTACGAACTACTTGATATTTTTACCTGGATGTCTGGGGAATCTTCTTTATCTTTGAAGTTGAACAGCTTTATTGTAGGAAACAACAGCTCTGGGTTCATTTTTCCAGACGTTTGTCACACGCTTTCAATATACAGATTTGGTTCTCTGTTGGTTTTCAGAATCTTCTCATGAGTCATGTCTAGTCTTCACGTGGTCTTTTCTAATTCCTGTTCAAGGATTCCACATCTCACCCGCAACATTTCACGTTTTCTTTACTTTCTTTCTAACTTCTTGCTTCTTTACCTTACCTTTGTTTTCTGGGGTGACCCCTTGTGTACGTCAATGCTTTCCTTTATGTTCTCATATCGGTCTGTTCTCCCTTGGGTCATTATAATGGGTTCTTCATTTCTGACCTCATTTTAGCCTTTTCTCTCATTTTTTCCCTCATGAGTACAATCTATGCTATTATAATTTATTCCAGTTTTGTCCATTTTTAAAAATATTTATTTTAGTGTGTGTATGTGCACATATGTACATACGAGTATTATACTGCACATGTGGAAGTCAAGGGTAACCTGCTGGACTTGATATTCTTCTTCCACCAAGGAAGGGGTCCTGGGGACTGAACTCAGGTTGTCAGGCTTGGCAGCAAGCATCTTTACCCACTGAGCCATCTCTCTGGCTCCATTTCTTTTCTTAGTTTTTGAAATTCTTATTCAAGATAGTCTTCATTTTTGTAAATTTTTTGAGTATAAATTAGGTTAAATATTGTCTTATTGTTTTCTCCTGTGTCATTTTGGGGGGGGGTAGAATTTCCATTTTGTGAGGAAATTGATTCTCACTTTCTGATTTTAAAAGTTTTTCTTATGGACTCATAAAACTTTTTTTCTTCATTGTGTGGGTCAGGGTTTTATGAGGTTTCCCATTCAATGACTCTCTTTTTCTCCAGTGTGGAAAAGTCATTTCCTTTGTGATTTGTGCAGAATTTTATGTCTTCTGGTGTTTTAGCTCTTTTAAAAGTGCCTTTCTAGGCCCCAAATTTCCCTGCTTGCTTCTTTTTATGTGTCACCACTCAATTGCCGAACGCCTTTCCATTTCCCACCCTTGCTTTTGGTGCTGGAGATGCAACCTAGGGCCTTCCACGTGCTAGGCAGGCACGCCACCACTGAGCTACAGCCCCAGCTCTTAAAGCCTCTTTCTATGTTTACATTTTCAGTTTATTTCAGTAGCTGGTATCCATCATATTTTGACACTCAGCCTAAGTTTTAGCATAGTATTCTGTTTCTGACATTTTTCTTGCTCTGTAGAAAGATAATGAGTGGAAATATGTGAAGAGGAGAGAGGTGAGAAGATAGGGATTTTAGAATACATTTATGAGTGGTATATTTTTGATAATATTTTGTAGCTCTGTGATAGCATTTTATCATAAAACTCCTAATTTTTCAGCTGGTTTGGTTCATCTTTTCCTGTGTCTTGAACATTGAGGTTTGGTAATCTGCCTGACTCATTAAAACTGGGAGATGGGGTACAGAGTGATGGTTTGTTGAGAGATAAACACTAGTATTCTGAAAATGGAGCCAACTCAAATTCTTTTATTTATTACTTTTATTTTATGTGTATGAGCATATTGCCTGCATGTGTGTAAGTACACCCATGTTGTGCAGTGCCCAAGGAGGCCAGAAGAGGGCATTGGATCCCATGGAACTAGAGTTACAGATGGTTATAAGGTGCTCTGTGGGTGCTGGGGGCCAAACCACAGTCCTCTGCAAGAGCAGCTAGTGCTCTTATCCACTGAGCCATCTCTCCAGCCCCCAAAACTCAAATTCTAATATACCTGCAACAGAGAAGTTTTATGACTAAAAACTATTAAATTTTGAAATTAGCTTATTCATAAAATTTTCAGGTTTATTTATCAAACATGAGAGCTCACCTCTTGCATGGTTAGGCTGGCATTTAGTCTAGACTGCAACCAACTCTCACAATAATCCTAAAAGGCAGTGATTGCAATCCTATTATGCAGAAGAGCTAGGTGAAGGTCACAGAAGTTGAAAAATATATCCAAGTCTCAGTCTAAGCAAGTGACAAATCACACTTCAATTCTGAGCTTCTCTGGCTTTAAAGGATCACTTCACACAGTTGATGCGATGGTGGACAGAGTCATTCTGGTTAACTTGCTGAGTGTGAACTAAAACCATTTCTTTGCCTCATGATTTATTACATTCTCATGGTAATTGAGGCTGTCTTCTCAACCAGACACTATTAACAGTTGAAGTATTAGGGATTGTATTATTCAGCTTTCCAGTGCTATGACAAAATACTTGATAAGACAAACAAAAAGAGAAAAAGGTTTATTTTGGCTCACAAATTTGGAGGTTTTAGTCCATGATCAGTTGACTCCATTGATTTTGGGACTGTGATGAGGTAGCACATTATGGTAGGAGCATGTGACAGATCCTTGGGGTGGCCAGGAGAGAGGAAGGGCTGCTGTTCTATATCCCCTTTAAGGGTGCACCCTGGATGATCTGACTTCCTTCTTGTCTTAATTGCTTTCTGCTGCTGTGATAAAAACACTGACAAAACAACTTGAGGGGGAAAGGGTTTATTTGGCTCACAAGCACAGTTCCTCATGAAGGGACGCCAGGGCAGGAACGCAAGGGCAGGAACCTGGAGCACAGACCATGGAGGTACACTGCTTACTGGCTTGCTCCTCTGGGCCATGCTCAGCCTGCAGTCTTACACAATACAGGACACCTGCCAGGGATGACACTGGTCACCACTCAACAGTCAACAAACTGCCCCACAGACATGTCCATAAAACCAATCCCATAGCGCTAATTCCCCAATTGAGGTTCTCTCTTCTCAGGTGTGTCAAGTTGACAACTAAAGCCATCCAGCACACATCTATTAAGCCCACCTCTTAAAGGCTCTTCCACTTCCCAATAATACTTACACAAGCTGGTAGCCAAACCTTTAGGAGACATTTATGCAAAGCATTGCAGGGCACACTCGTGACATGGTTGGATGCCACTGTCCTACTGGCTTAGCTCCACTTAGCCAGTAGGACAGTGGCATTCAGTCCTGCTACTTGGAAATTACTAAATGCTCAAGGAAGGACTTAGGGGAGTTTGAGCAGAAGGACTTCTGTGGGGACTACTCAGCTCTGAGAATCAGTGCAGTGGCATGCTGTGCTTCCAGTCACCCATGCAGTGGAGGTGTCCCTGGCCTGGCTGTGAGTTAGTGGCATTAGTGGGGTTCCACTCAGCCTGCCTCTCACTTCTTGGTTTTTATTCACATACCACTGAGGATGAGCCATTATTTGTCTGGAACTTCATTCAGGTCCAAGATTCAATTTCAAATAACTGATGGCACTGGTTTCTTCAAAGTGGGGATTTTTACTGACTCATCTTATGCATATATGAAACTATTAGCATTCACAGATGGTGTTTTAATAAGGAACCTGGAGAATTTGCCGATTATATGAGTGAATGGAGGTCCAACAAAGGAACTCTGAGACCCGACCATTTATTTTGGCTCTGGAAATATTTCTTTTGTATAAACTCTTAAGGGATAAGTTGCTGTGGCCACTGGTCCTGTTAGCCACCTGGCAGCTGAAGAGACGCATGTGTCTTTAGGTGGATTTTCTTCCCAGTGAGATCATGAGCTCATAACTTGCTTAACTCCTCATGATTTTAGCACGTCATAACACTCCTGGAACTTAGCTTTGTTCCCTGCGCCAGGCTTCCCTATAGATTAGATGGTTCATGTTGCACATTTACATTTTTTGGAAGTAATGGTTTTATAATTTGCCATGTTTTCATGTAACATTTAGTCTTCTAAACCTTCTCCAGGAAAATATTTCATGACCAAGTGTTACTTACCTAAGCCTTTCCACCCCCTTCCATTGTCTCAGGTTCCTAATCTGTAAAAAGGGGGAAGTCAGAGGTGCTTGAAGGGCCTGTGTGGGTCTGAGCTGCATTTCTCTGTGTATGCAGCTGGCTACACTGTCTCTTTACCTACTGTAGGTATGCATGGGGATCTGGATAGTGTTGATCTGTCCTCTGGTCTCCTCAATTCAGGTATATGCACTGGTAGCTCCACCAGGCACATTGTCACCTTTGATGGGCAGAACTTCAAGCTGACCGGTAGCTGCTCCTATATCCTATTTCAAGACAAGGAACAGGACCTGGAGGTGATTCTCCACAATGGTGCCTGCAGCCCCGGGGCAAGTCAGGCCTGCATGAAGTCCATTGAAGTTAAGCATGATGGACTGTCCCTTGAGCTGCACAGTGACATGGAGGTGAGAGGAGTTTTCTGTGGAATCCATGGCAAGGCAGCAGCAGGACCTCTGGGAAGCCACGCAGAGCTAGTAGCAGCCGGTTTTAGGTGCTGCTGCTGCTGCTGCTGCTGCTGCTGCTGGGGAGTTGCCTTCTACTTGCTTGCCACAGTACTGCCTTCTTCAGAGGGTGGGTTGCCATTTCTCTAGTCTTAGTGGGATTTCATGTTGTTCCAGACTTGGAAGAGCAAATCAGTTTTAGATAGCATTAAATTATGAATTTAGTGCCAGTTTCTGGCGCTGATAGAGAACTGGGTTGGCACGCAGACTATGTGCTCACTAGGCATTATGAGCCCAGTACCCAAGGCCTGGGGACTTTCCAAAAGGAAATATTTAGTGCCTAAATCAGGACCTTTGAAAATATTTAGAGCCTGAACAAAGTGTATGGTTTCAAAATTTAGAAAGGAGACTGCCAAACTGCTCTAAATAAATGTTTGATTAAATGCTTACAAAAGGTTGTATTATGCCAACTTCTTTAGCTGTTCATTTAGAAATCATAAATATTTCATTGCATGGAAGCGACTTGTAGACTAGATTTTTCTCACTTGGTGAGAATTCCTGAATACGAACAATAATTGCTGAGAAATCGTAGCTTGTTATATATTAAATGAGGAATGCACAGCCAAAGAAATCTTAAAATCAAAGTGATAAAAAGCCTTCCAAAACTTTTACATCAAAATTTACATTCATTTCAGCATGTGAGTACACTTTAATGTTTGATATGCTACATGGTGGGACTTCAAAAGGACAACACACATGCTCATGCAAAGCTTTAAAGTCATTCCATTAGATGCCCCTGGAGACCCTTCCCAGTCAGCTGGCACACTGGCCACTTTCCTAGTCTATGGTGAAGGAGTCACCCTTCCCTTCTGAGGCATACAGACCAAGTTCCCTAGAACCCTGGGTTTTTAGGCTCAGGTACATGGAGCCTCTACTGTCTTGTTACAGTCTGTGCTGTCAAACTCCACAATGCCCCTTTGTTTTGGAAAAGCTATTGACAAACTCCAGGCTTTGTGGGCACCCCTGTAATTGAGTGTAAATAATGGACAGGCACTCTTGGTAGCTTGAGTGAGAAGATGAATGGCTCAGCCATTAAAGAGATCACACTGCTCTTGCAGAGGACTGGAGTTCAGTCCCCAGCACCCACATCAGATGGTTAACAACCACTTATAACTCCAGCTCCAAGGGGATCTGATGCCTGTGGCCTCCACAGGCTCCTGCACTTACACACATCCCACATGCATACATATAATTAAAAAGAACACAAATATTTGGCCGGGCATGGTGGTGCACGCCTTTAATCCCAGCACTTGGGAGGCAGAGGCAGGTGGATCTCTGTGAGTTCAAGGCCAGCCTGGTCTACATAGTGAGTTCCAGGACAGCTGGGGCTGCAGGGAGACCCTGTCTCAAAAAGACCAAAAAAAAAAAAAAATTCAAAACAGATATTTAAAAAAAGAAGATGGGATTGAAGTTCTAGGGCTTCTTATGAGCCAGAACTACTGATGGACATTTCCTTCTTTGGGCAGGTGTCAGTGAATGGAAGGCTGGTCCCTACCCCTTACATGGGTGGAAACATGGAAGTCAGCATCTATGGTGCTATCATGCATGAAGTCAGGTTCAAAGATCTTGGCCACATCCTCACATTCACCCCACAAAACAACGAGTTCCAACTGCAGCTGAGCCCCAAGACCTTTGCTTCAAAGATGTATGGCCTCTGTGGTAAGAACGCATTCCCCATGCTCCTCTTCTGTGTTATAAACCTTGCTGTGTCCCAAGGTGCTTGGAATTTACATTACTGGATCCAATTTCAAGCACCTAGTAGTGAGGGTCAGACCATGCTCGGGGTGGAGAAGGGCCAAGTCTGTGGTGCCCTTGACTTTTCTTGTTTCCCTAGGGATCTGTGATGAGAATGGGGCCAATGACTTCATGCTGCGGGATGGCACAATCACCACAGACTGGAAAACACTCATCCAGGAATGGACCATGCAGCAACCAGGGGACACGTGCCAGCCTGTTCCTGAGGAACAGTGTCCTGTCTCTGACAGCTCCCACTGCCAGGTCCTCCTCTCGTCAGTGTTCGCTGAGTGCCACAAGGTCCTTGCCCCCACCACATTTCATGCCATCTGCCAGCAAGATGGTTGCCACCAGGAGCGAGTGTGTGAGGTGATTGCCTCTTATGCCCATCTCTGTCGGACCAACGGGGTCTGTGTCAATTGGAGGACACCAGATTTCTGTGGTAAGTCCTCATATGTGTCCCTAAAACCTTGGAGACCTTGTGGGCTCCTCTTTGGGCTTCAGATTCTTATCTGCTTTATGAAGATCAAAATCCCTATATTTCCTATTACCTAGATTTCTAGTTAGGATCAATAAGATGGTACTTATATAAGCCATTTGACTGAAGACTGCCTATATAAATCAAAGCATTAGTATTTCTGTAACTCAAACAGTTGTGAATTGAGTGTATTAGACACAGGTAGGCATGAGCTAAGTATTATATAACCAGTCACATAGAATTTGAAATTCCTTCAAGCTGGAAAACCCCCATTTAGCAGGATTTGGGAGAGTGGCAGTTTGCCATTTGGTTCCCAAGAAACCTCTCATTTACAGATAGAATTGCTAATATAGAGCTCCTTCCATCAACACCAGCCTTCTTTTTTTATACTTTATTTATTATTTTAATTTTATGTGTATGAGTGTATTGCTTGCATGTTAAGTGAGTGCACCCATGTCGTGCAGTGCCACGGAGGTCAGAAGAGGGCTTCTGATTCCCCTGGAACTGGAGTCAAGGATGGTTCGTAGCTGCCATGTGGGTGCTGGGAATTGAAACTGGGTCCTCTGCAAGAGCAGTCAGTGCTCTTAACCGCTGAGCCATCTCTCCAGCCCCCAATACCAGCCTTCTTAAGTAGGACCTTCCATTTATCATTTGAAATGTGCAGAATACCAGAGTGGTTCAAACATGGCTCCTGCCCTCACAGAGTGCTGGAGTAAAAGACACTGAACCTGAACACCCTGTCTATGTTGAATCAATGACTTTTGGAGTGTGTTGGAGTCTTGAGAGTTCGTTATCATAGGGTCTACATCTTTGACGTGGGGCTGGAGGACTTGGGCATCCAGATCAGCTCAGCTGGTGACTGACCGTTCTCTTAGTCTTCCTGCATCTCAGTTTTTGCCTAGTAGAGTGAAAGAGCTGGGCTACCCCGTCCCCTCATGTTGTTTAGAGGTTTGAGGTCCATGTGGATGGTACCGCCTCCTCTTGATCTGCCTTCTTGATTTGTGTATGTGCATACAGAGAAGAGCTCTGTGCTCCAGATCTTTGGAGACCATCACCAGTTGTATGAGCAGGAAAATGTGAGAGAGTTTGCCAAGCAGGGTCTTAATGTGAGAAGGGAGTCGCCTCAGAGATCCCTTCCCAAGGCCTTTCCTCATCACTGTGGATTGCTTACTTAAGAGGATCTTAAAGCATCAGATACATATATATTCCAAAGAAAGGACCAGAAAGCTTTCACATAGTTGGATTAGATTTGGCTGCAAGCTGAGATATCTGATTGCCTGTGGTAAGATGATCAGAGGGTGGTGGTGACACTGTCAATGCTGGGCTTTGCTTGAGTGTGATCTTCTCCATGGTTAAGATCCAACCAGCAGAATCAGAAGGAGGAAAAAAGGACAAATTGTATGCACAGCTGTCCTTTTAAAAAGATTCCTGGAGCCTACTGTAGGATACTGCACTCCTCTTATAGTCAGTTGGTCAGAAGTTAGTCATATGACCACACTTAATTGCAAAGGAAATTTGGAAATGTAGTCTTTTTTGATTTATTTATTTTTACGTGTACGAGTATTTGTCTGCATGTATGTAAGTGCACCCCCTGGATGCAATGCCTGTGGAGGCCAGAAGAGGGTGTCAGATCCCCTGGAACTGGAGTCTCAGAGAGTTGTAAGCTACCATGTGGGTGCTGGGAACAGAACCCAGGTACTCTGCAAGAGCAGCCAGTGCTCTTAACTGCTGATCCATCTCTCCAGCACCAGAAATGCAATCTTTGTTCTAAGGGGTTGTATGCCTAGTTTGAAAATTCTATTTCTGTGGAAGCTGGAGAGAATGGGCATGGGTGAACACTGGTCATGTCTGCTATAGTAAGCTTGTCAGATGACTGACCACCTTAAATTGGCTGTGCTTCTTTTGCCTCTGGCTGGTGTAGGTCACTGAGAATGACCTTCTCTATTTGCAGCAATGTCATGCCCACCATCCTTGGTATATAACCACTGTGAGCATGGCTGCCCTCAGCACTGTGATGGCAATACCAGTTCCTGTGGGGACCACCCCTCGGAAGGCTGCTTCTGCCCCCCACACCAGGTCATGCTGGAAGGCAGCTGTGTCTCCAAGGAGGCCTGCACTCAGTGTGTTGGGGAGGATGGAGTCCGACACCAGGTAGGAGTCTGATCTCTCCCCTCCCTTGGGGTGGCTTCTCTTCCAACTTCTGCAGCATGGTTGACTTTTAACGGATCATTTGAAGGGTAGGAAGGCAGGATGTATAATAGTTTTGGATTCAGACAGACTTGGTTCAGATCCTGGGTCTCCTATGGATTAGCTGTGGGATCAAACACCAAAGTGTTGTTACTACATCATTAATATTATTTTTATTCATGCATGTAGAATGATGAAGGCACCCAGGAGGGAAGGAGAAAATAATGTATTATAAGGTGATATCGACCATTATTCAGATATATTGCATACTTCGTACATTGTCTCGGTGTTCCTTAATGATGCGTTTTATTTCAGAGCATTTATAATTACTTGTGGCCAAGTGAGTTAAACAAACACTAGCAAAATAGTTCAGTTCTTTTCTTCATTGCAGGATTCTTTAAAGAATTTAAAAAACTTTATTGCTGCTTTATGTGTATGTTTTGCCTGTGTTATCTAAGTGCACCATGTGTGTGCAATGCCCATGGAGGCCAGAAGAGGGCATCAGATCCCTGGAACTGGAGTTATTGATGGTTGTTAGCTGCCATGTTAATACTGGGAACTGAATCTGGGTCCTCTGCAAGAGCATCCAGTGCTTTTAACTGCTGAGCCAGCTCTCCAGCCCTATTGCAGGATTCTTTAGTGCTTTTAATGTACTAATGTATACTGCAAATGTTTCAGAAGGTTTTTGACCATGGAGCCTGTGTGTGTGTGTGTGTGTGTGTGTGTTTGTGTGACATCCTTTGAACTAAGGTTCGATCAGAATACATTGGTTTAACCCACATTGCTTATAAATATCCACAGAAAACCTCTGAGGAACTAAGAGCTTAGTTAACTTCTTTTGGGCCCATTTTGTAAGTGATAGATTTGGGTGTTGGACTCAGAATTTGAAGCTTGGTGTAACCCCCCAAATCCTTTTATAGTTTTTGGGATGATGTGTTTGGAAATCACTGAATCACCAATTCTTTCAGCTTTCTAGGAGCTAATGAGTGCACTTTGAGAGAATATTTACCAAACTCTCCCATCGTGGCCTATGATGGCAGCTATCTCTCTTCCAAGGTGATACTATATATATCTGTAAAATTAGGTGCAGTGTGAGCCTGTGCACATTGAATGTGTGCAGCAGTCCTGTTCTTCACCCTTGCTGGTGATAACCAAGCATGGTAGAGGTAGGAGCCTATTTGGCTTCTAGTAAAGGGGAATGTGTCCTGTGATTGTGGGCTGCCCTCAAGACCCAACATACCCATCCTCATCAAGGATAACCTTTATCTCTTAGTCACCAGATGGGCTGGCTTATCCCTTTATTTAATCCCAACTAGGTGGCCTTGTGGTAAAGCTAGCCAACCAAAGAGGGTGATGGAAACAGTAGTCTCTATAGCTACATTATTCTACCCATGACACAGTAAGCCAGGGAGTAGATCATTTTTGATTCTCCTCAAAGCCCTGTGGGTTATTATCACATGTCCTGTTGAGAGGATGAGAAGACTGAGGCTCAGATGGCTTAAGATGATGAAGACAGAATTGCTGTTGGCAGCACCAGGTCACCTCATAGTGTTCTAGCCCTGCCACGGGCTTCAGGAGAATGGCTAGCTCATCTTGGAGCTAATGGCATTGATGTGGGCATGAGCATTGTTAATAAAGATGTTGCTTAGATGGGGTTATTTGCTCTGGGTTAGCTGTTGGTCTTTATCCTATTGAATCTTTATTCTAACTTTACAGGAAGTGAGCAGGGAGGGAATCTCTGTCAATCTCTTCCTCCATATTTCAAATTGTCAAATTAAGTAAGTGCTCGGACCATAATATTCTCCAAATGAGTTGGCAGACCCTAACATTTCTCTCCCTGATTCCCATCACTCCTGGGCTCCTGCGGGGCTTGAATGATGCAGTGCATTTGTGTACAGTGTTAGCACCAAATGCTGTGAATGGTGAAGTGCTTCCTCTCTGAAGGCAGAAATGGTCTTGTCTTCTTTCTTGGCCTCCTGTGATGAGAAATAAGCTTTTTTGCAAAGGGTTTCTGACTCCATGAGTGTCAGATACTTGCAGGTCTCCAAAGCAGGAAGAACACGAATTTTATTTTAATTCCTGGTATGTCCAGCCCTCTCTTCCCCTTTTCCTCTCTGATTTTTTTCTCCATTTTTCCCTTTCTGTTTTCTTCACCATCAACACAACAGGTTGGAATAGGTGTTTGAGTTGCATTAAGGAATATGTCCAAATAGTGCAATATTTTGGACACAGAACAGTCTGACGTTTTAAAAATCAAGTACTGTAGAATTAATAAAACCTTCGACGAGAACACAGCCGGTTTTAGTTACTCAGAAAATAGAGTTTAAATGGAAGAAAACAAGTGTCTTATCCAGCCACCTGCATTTTCAGCATTCACTTTCAAAGCAGAGAAAGAATGAAAATCTAATCATGAAGAGCATTTCCATTAAATGCACTTTTAGACTGAAAAAGAAAACTCAGAAAATCCTCCTTCAGGGAAATAAACCAGAGTTTAAATCTATTATACCCTTGGAGAGGGGAAAATATTTACCAGTTTCCATAGCTCTTGTTTAGTTTACAAAATGCACTGTGAAGATGTGAGCTGGAGTCGCACATAGGCTATCTGTCTCTCCTGGGAGCCTCTGCTGGTCCAGCACTCTGCACACAGTCCCACTTCAGTGCAGCAAGAGCTGCGTCCTTCACCCAGGAGCCTCTGGCCCGCACTTCCTTTCCTCTCCTTCAGTCTCAGCAGCACTGGAGTCTGGTTCCAGCTTAAGGTGAAAGTGTCATTTTCATCTTCCATTAGACTCTTCCAGCTCCTGGAGGGTGATGTTTGCTGACACGCTCGTGTCCCTTGACTGGCTTGAAGACTTTGGTTTTCTGTCCCCACATTCTCTCTACAGGTTGTCCTTTTGGTCTTGAACTCCAGCGGGTGCACCTGTTTTCCTTCGCCTTGCTCTGTGCCTGGACCTGGTGGACGCCAGGCCAACCTCCAGGCAGTTTGGGCCTGTGCAGCAGCGCCCTCTGCTGGCCGGATTGCTGCATCGTCAGGCCTGTGGAGCCTTGGAGGGCATCTTCATTGAGGTTTATTCTCAGTCTTTTCGGGGGCCACTGATTCTGTGCCCAGCTTGGCTAAAGCTTCCTGGGAACGTGGAAATACTCAGAGAAGACACCTGATTTGGGGTATCTGTTGTGTATTTTCACACTCTCCAATAGCTGGAAAATTCTTTATTCTTTAGTTTTTCTATCTGAGGTTCACATTTAGAGTGAGAAGGAGGAAAAAAGAAAACTGGAACGAATATGGGGGCCTTTTAGAGCTCCTGGATGAGGATGCGTCAGTTAAAGTTGAGTTTAATCTTAAGTGTAAGTTTAGGTTAAACCCTACAGCTGAGTTCAGAGGCTGAATGGCCCCTAGCATCCCATTTGTGGAGGCTGTCACTCTACATCAGGCGTTATAACCACTTTCTCAGCAGACCTGGGAGGCAGGCTGAGCTCATCTTACAAGCAGGGAAACTGAGGTCCAAAGGAATGAAGCTCATCCTGTGTTTGGGTGTGTGCAACTGTGGGAAATCTGCTCTGTCCCCTGGGAAGACTCTTATCTGATGAACCAGAGAAGGTTCAATCCAGCCTCTGGAGTCACTCCTGGTCTGCACACTGTGATGCCTGCAGGGTCTTGCTGACCTCCCTTTAGCTCTTCCCATCCCACTATCTCAAAAAAAATTAGATTTATTTATTTTTATTTTATGTGTATGAGTATTTTGTCTGCATATATGTAGGTGCACCACATGTATACAATACCCACAGAGGCCAGAAGAGGGCAACAGATATCCTGGAACTGGAGTTAAGGACAGTTGTAAGCCACCATGTGGGTGCTGGGAACTAAACCCAGGTACTCTGCAAGAGCGACCAGTGCTCTTAACTGTTGAGCCATCTCTCCAGCCCCCTTCCCCCCACTGTCTAAGTCAGAGAGAAAATTACTTTCTAAGCTACCTCTTACCCTCTTCTTTAGCCTAAGAAATGACCAGGCATGTGACAAGACCTTTTTTGTTGCTTTCTGTGGTTCAGCACCTCTATCAGAGAGGGCTACAGGGAAAATTCCAGGACTTTCCTTCTTTTTGTGTACGTGTATATTTATGTGTGTGTGTGTGTGTGCATGTGTGTATCTGTGCATATGTACATGTATGTATGTGCTGGTGGAAGCCAGAGGACAACCTCAGGTGTCTCCCCAGGAAGTCCATGTACCTCATTGGCCAGCGCTTACCAATTAGCCTAGGCTAGCTGGTTAGTGAACCCTAGGAATCTGTTTGTCTCTACCTCCCCATTGCCAAGATTTCAAGCATGCGGTACCATGGGCTCTGGGGATCGAACACAAGTACTCATGTTGGCTTTGCAAGCATCTTATTGACTGAGCCGTTCTCCCATCCCAGTTCCAGTACTTTCTAAAATCTGTAGTCTGTCATTTGCCCGTGTTTACAAAGCAGTAAGCGATGGTCTTTTTAAGGACCTTGTGCCTTTCTCTCTCTTTGCTGAGGGGTCAAGAACTGGCCCTCCGAAGAGGAAACTAAACCATAGGCCAGAGTGTTGACTCCCAGGACCCTAGGAGTTCTGACCCATAAACTCCTGTACTTTCATGAGCCTCATTCTCCCCTCAGTTTCTGGAGACCTGGGTCCCAGACCATCAGCCCTGTCAGATCTGCATGTGCCTCAGTGGGAGGAAAGTCAACTGCACATCACAGCCCTGTCCCACAGCCAGAGGTGAGTGAGTCTTCCCTGTTTGCTGCTGCTGAGGACAGAGAGCTCTGTGGGCCTCCAGTCACCCTGTCATGGACATGGCAGACAAATCCAAATCCCAGCCTCATGGAGCTGGTTTTCTCAACGAGACCACATTTCCCCTCATTGGGCTTGGAGATCCCTTTCTGCACCTGTACTGGACCTACCCCTGCTCTCCTGTCCCCACCTTGGTGGCATCACACTCACTGAGAGACCCCTGGAGGCTAAATTGGAAGGTGTTAGCAGGACTGACAGCGCAGGCCCATTCTGTCTAGAATTCTTTCCTGAGTCCATGGTCTAAATCCTGTGGGACTCCCATACAGGATATGTGCTGGTTTTCTGTGAATGAGAACTTTGAAAACCTCTGTAGGCTGGACCATTGTTTATTCTCTCAGTTCTGTGGCCATTCTTCTTCTCCAGTGCCCACGTGTGGCCCATGTGAAATGGCTCGCCTCAAGCAGAATGCAGACCACTGCTGCCCAGAGTATGAGTGTGGTATGTATGCACCCCACATAACCCAGTTCCCCTAGATGGTATGCGCTTAGTCACAGGGTGTTCAGAAGGAGGTGGGCAAGGTCTGGCCGAATAAAAAGAAAAACCCTCCAGAAAGTGGATTTTTGAAAAATTGTACTGTAGTTTCAAATGAAAGATTAATAAAACAGTGGCGTGATTACCGGGGCTACAGAGATTTACTGAAGGAAAACTCATACCACTGTAAGACTTTTCCTATAAGATTTTTGAGGACCCTAGATGTGAAGAAGGTCAATCAATGCAGGCACCTTGATTTTGGCAAGCTGTTGGGGGTTGTGTGCGTGGGGGGATAAATGACAGTGTGATTCAGAAGGTCAAGAGCCAGCAGAGGGCTCCATGACAGGAAACCTCTGACACCCTCGTCCCTGTCCTGTCAGATGTGCTTATTAATTGATTGTGCAAAGGAAGACATAAACAGTGGGACATCAAACTGGCAGTAAGGCAGGGCTGCAAGGGAGAGTCCGAGGAGCTAGACAGGAAGCAAGGATGTGGGGAGGTTGATCAATGTGGGCGAAATTTATCAGAAATCAACAAAAATCTTAGAGGGGAAGGCAATCTGGTTTGAGAACAATTTTGTAAAATGGGTCTCAGAATGTTGGCAGTAGAGAAAACCAGAGGATCATTTAGGTCAAGGCCCCCATTTTATAGACAAGTGGGAAAGCTCCTGAATGTGCCAGAGACTGCATTTTCATTAGCCCAAGAAATCCTTAGGCTAACCTGGTAAGATAGAGTGTCCACTTTTACAGAGGGGGACAGGTCTAGAGGGTTCAGTCTTAGCTGAAGTCCACAAGTCTTAGATGATAAAATTTGTCAGTCTGAGGGCAACATGGTTTCAGTTTAGCAACTGTCTGTTGTCTATCATCTATCTATCTATCTATCTATCTATCTATCTATCTATCTATTATCATCTATCTATCATCTATCTATCATCTATCAATCACTTATAAGGTAACTCTTTTGTTTGCCTTTCCATGTCTGTCTCTATTGGCTGCCACCATCTACCTAAGGCAGTAGAATTCATAGTAATGGGCATGTAGGTCCCAGTCATAGGCAATGAGGGGGTAATTTCACCAAACAATGCATGGACCTCTCTTTCCTGGCCCTCCCTCAGTGTGTGACCTGCTCAGCTGTCACCTGCCTCCAGTGCCGTCCTGTGAAGGAGGGCTCCAGCCAACCCTGACCAACCCTGGTGAATGCAGACCCACCTTCACCTGCGGTAAGGCCCCTGTGGTGTCACTCTCTCCTGGCCTCAGGAAGCCATCTTCTGTCTTGGGACCTATTCCAAGATTGTATCATTTCTTTTTTGAGCTATCTAAACCTAGGTTCGGGGTTCATTTGAAAAGAGGGGTTAAGCTCATACTGAATTGAGTCCTCTGGTAGTCTGAGCTTCAGCGGCTGTTGGTGTGGTAGTGGGGGTGTAGCTACAGGCACTTCTTTAAGCACTTGGAGTTCAGGTACTACGACTCCAAACTCAATCACTATTTGTTCTCTAGCTCCCCTCTTCCTCTTCGCCACAGAGGGGAGGGCATGTTACCTTGTTTACCTTTGTCTTAGAATCTTATTTCAAAATTTTAATAGAGTATTTCCTCTGTAGGCTTATATAGTCAATCTTGAAATTGTGTGTGTGTGTGTGTGTGTGTGTGTGTGTGTGTGTGTGTGTGTTTGTTTTGAGACAGGGTCTCCTTGTAGCCCCTGGCTTAGAACTCACTGAGTAGACCAGCCTGGCCTTGCTCTCACAGAGATCTGCCTGCCTCTGCTGGGATTAGAGGCATGAGCCACCATGCTGAAATAGTGGCTGAAAAAGTAATCTACCTTTAGCCCACCTCTAAGCACAGAGGTGGGCTAAAGTTAGATGTGGTAAGTCATGGGATTCTGTATTCTGCTACCCGGGTTCATTCTATCTTCAGTGGTATTCTTGGCTGCCTACTTTGGAATCTCGCGTGGGTTCCTCAGTGCTGGCTTCGGGGGTGGAGGGTACATAAGGTGTTTGAAGGCAGTTGGAAGTTGGCACAGGATACAAGGATGGGCTTTAGCAGTAATAAACTAACTCCATGGCTCTGACAGGATTGCTGGCAATCTTTCATTTGCATGTTGTTGGAAGGTGTAAAATGTTAAGGTGCTCTAGCTACCAAGGTGGACATAGCATCATATAAGCTGCCAATATTTTCAAGTGCCAACCAGCTGTGGTATGCCCAGGCCTCTCTAGTTTTAGGGGTTCAGTGTTTGGTATTTCTAAGAGTCAATAGCTGGGAGGGTCCTGCCTCTCCTACATGTGCCTTGGGGTGCAGTGCAGGGATTGATCAGCTCCCCTTCTCCATGAGAATTCCAAGCCACATTTCTCTTCATTAATGATTGTCTCTGTAGACTGACCATTTTGTTGGTTTATCCAAATATCCTGGCTCATGTGCAATTCCAACTGTATACCTGGATCTAGGTTTATCCAGAGCCCTGCCACAGCTGAGTACTTGGGAGCCCCAGCTGAGAACAGTGATCAGTGTGGCAGGACTATGAATGTCACCTGTGCTCATTTCAGTCTGCAGGAAGGAGGAGTGCAAAAGCCTGTCCCCACCCTCCTGCCCCCCTCATCGGACCCTGATCCTTCGGAAGACCCAGTGCTGTGATGAATATGAGTGTGCTTGCAGCTGTGTCAATTCCACAGCGAGCTGCCCACTTGGGTACTTGCCCTCAGCCACCACCAATGATTGTGGCTGCACCACTACCACCTGCCTCCCAGACAAGGTAGGTACTGTTCAACTCTAGATGGGATGAGGCCCACCCCTTGCCCCTCATGGAGAATTTGAACTTCAGCCATTACTTATCTCTGAACCAAAGGCTACAGGATGAGGTGGATGAGTGGGTAGCCAATATTTCATCTCCATCCCAATGGAAATTCCATGAACTCAGGAGGTATTGACAGTGACTCTGTTATGTATTCATCATGGCTAGGTTCTGAGTTGGTGCCTGGGTGTTACTTTAAAGAGCTTACTTGTAGGTTAGCTGAAGAAATACTGTAATTGCTTGGATTATCTAATAGTTAATAGTTGGTTTCTTAATTGCTGTCATTTCATCCATCCAATAATGAGCAACTACTATGTTCAAACAGAACTGGTATTGCCTTAAGTGCTATGGGAGCAATGTAAAATGAAGTTCCTGTTTCTGATCTTGTTAGCACATATTGGAACAGTCTCTAAACCACATTCTATAAGGTACAAATAACAATCTGTAGGAGGAGAGGTCCACTGTGTTTCACTATGATAGAAGACTGATTCACTGTGGTGAGATATAGACAGAAACCACCCTGGCCTTATGTATGGCTGTTTTCTTACCTCCTGAGAACCTTCTACACTCTGGATAAATGATTTCATAAAATGAACCAAAATGGGTTCATTCTTGTTAACCTTGCATTACTAGGTTTGTGTCCACCAAGGTACCATCTACCCTGTGGGGCAGTTCTGGGAGGAAGGCTGTGACGCATGCACCTGCACAGACATGGAGGATTCTGTCTTGGGCCTGCGGGTGGCTCAGTGCTCTCAGAAGCCTTGTGAAGACAGCTGTCAGCCGGTGAGTAGGGCACAGAGGCTGGGTACTACATGGAGCCATTGGGTAGGGGAGATAGGATGGGGATGTTAGGAAGGGTGTCTTTGAGCGGATGAGGGAGGACAAAAAAAGGAAAGGAGGAGGGAGAGAGAAAGAGAGAAAGAGAGAAAGAGAGGTATAGATACTTCAAGGGATTTCTTCCCACTAAGGCAGGCCCTCTAACGTTTCCATGCCTCCCAATATCCTGATAAGCTAAGTAGCTGTCAATAGTTTAATCATTTGAAAAGGCCAGAATCCTCATAATCTGATCACCTCCCAAAGGTCCTACCTTTAAACACTGCTGCATCAGAACCAAGCCTTCCGTACATGGATGTTTAGGGCAACAGTTCAGATCTAAACTGTAACAGGCTGGGCAAAAGGAGGGAAGTGTGAGATAAGGATGGCCATGCCACCCTTTTGTGGTCCATCTTTGGCTAACGGACATTCGTGCTATATGGTTTTAAGTCCAGAGCTGGCAGAGCTGGTTTTAGCAGAGACAAGGACAGGAGTGAATGCCCAGAGAAGTCTCCATTTTCCCTCTCCGAACTTCAGACACCCTAGCCTATCCCTAGAACAGACTTACCCTCTGAATCTTCTGATTGGTTCAATGCGTGGTAGTGTTTCCATATAGACTGGTGATTTTCAAACCATGTTTAAAATTGAAATATAGAAAACATGCCCAGTGTTCCCCAAATTCAGCGTGTGGTGGTTTTCCCCTTTGTTCCAGCACACCGAAGACTGCTGAGACCCCAGTAGAAGGGAGCACCCATCTTTAAAGAGAATTGTGGCTCAAACCCTGCTCACAAACTTGATACTGTTAGTTTTACTAAATTTTTGCCAGGAGATAGTCATGTTAATGCGGATGTTCTAGGGCAGGCAGATGCTTCTGTAAATGTCAATAGCAGGGAATATCATGCTCTTGAAACTGTTGGGGTGTATGGTTTGGTGACAGAAGCAGGGCTTTGGCAAAGCTCACCTGTCATCCTTCCTGCATTCCTGGCACAGGGATGAGTGGAGGATGCAGTGGCATCACAAATGCCTTTTGGAAATGTCAAGCTTTGGAAATCCCTTGGTCTCCACTTCTATTCCATTAGCCATGGGCAAAGATAACAATAAATTGCAATCAAATAGTAAGAGTGCTGTTCAGAGTTCACTTTAAAAAATATTTATTTTTATTTTAAGTGTGTGAGTGTTTTGCCTGCATGAATATAAGTGCACCCATGTATGCGTTGCCTGCAGAGGCCAGAAGATGGGGTCAGATTCCCTGGAACTGGAGTTACAGATGGTTGTTAGCTGCCATGTGGGTGCTGAGAACTGAATCCAGGTCCTCTGCAAGGGCAGCCAGCACTCTTAACTTCTGAGCCATCTTTCCAGCTCCTGGAGTTCATTTTTATAAATGTAACACCCAATTCTGAAACAGAATAGTTTTAGTAGGGAGTTATTTGTTTATTTTTATTTTACATGTGTAAGTGCTTTGCCTGCATATATGTAAGCACACCATGTGCATGCAATGTCTGTGGAGGTCAGAAGAGGGCATTGGATCCCCTGGAACTGGAGTTGAGGACAGTTGTTAGCCACCATCTGGGTGCTGGGAACTAAACCTGGGTCCTCTACAAGAGCAGACAGGCTCTTAACTACTGGGCCATCTCTTTAGCCCTCAGTAGGGTATTTTAAATTCAAAGGATAGAACACACTTAAGGTAGCTAAAATAATAATAAAAAAGATCTGCAGAAAAGATACAGAGGAATCTTCCAGAGATGAAGGGTAGGAAGTGTGGGAGGCCATCGTGGTCACATGACATTTCTCTCCTGTTGTCCCATGAGTCCCCCCCCCTTTGTTTTTTTTTGGTCTCTTTGAGACAAGGTCTCCCTGTGGCCCCAGCTGATCTGGAACTCGCTACATAGACCAAGCTGGCCTCGAACTCACAGAGATCCACTTGCCTCTGCCTACCAAGTACTGGGATTAAAGGCATGTCTACCATGCCTGGCCCCCATCTCTTTTCTCTCTCCATCTGTGTAGTTCGTTGTAGAGCTATGCAGGACTTAATGGCAAGGATGCATTCTGAGAGATGTGTTGTTGAGTGACTTCATTGTGAGAACATAACAGAATATATACAAATCTACATGTCTAGAGACACACTCAACATGTGATGCATGAAGTTGCTTCTGCATGACATGATGAATTGTTTGCAGTAAACTTTTTTTTTTAAAGTGGCAAGAATACATTCTAAAATAATAAAAAATATAGAATACCCATAAGCCAGCAGCATAATCATTTATTATCAAATACTATACACTGCACAGGGTTGTATATGCCATACCTTCCTGTGATTGACTGTGCAGTTGGTCTGTTTATACCAGTGTTGCCACAGGCTAAAACTAATGCATTATGCTTCTCGGTGTTATGGATGTAACATATGTTAGGATGCTTGGTGATAAGAATTTTTCTGCTCCAGTATAATCTTTTTTCCTGAGACATAGTTTCACTATGTAGTGAAGACTGGCCTTAAGCTTGTGATCCTCCTGAGTGCTGGGATTATAAGCATGCACCACTATGCTTGCTATCATTGTTGTTACAGGATCACTGTCATATATGTGGTTCATTGCTGACTGAAATGTCATTATATGGTGCAGGATTATATTTTATTCACCCTCATGGTATGTCTCAGAAAGAAAAAGAGGGAGGATTGTTGTTTGTACTTGACAATAGGAAATAAAGGACTAGCTTAGGAAGCGGAGTTGGGCACAGCTTTCCTATATATCTAAAACCAATAGAAATTGGTATATGTTGACTTAGAGTCCAGGGCCCACTCTGTTAGGCTAATGCAATTGAAACCCCAATTTTATGGTTTGAATATGAAATGTCCTCACACACTTATATGTTGAAGGCTCAGTTCCAGGTGGTAGAAATTTTCGGAGGTGGTGGCCTACCTGGAGGAAGTAGACTACTGGGGGTGTGTCTTTGAGGTTTGTACTTGGCTCGCAGCCCTGATTTTGCTTTCTGCTTCCTGCCTGCCATGAAGTGAGCAGCCTTCCTTTCTACATGCTTCCACTGCTGTGGTGTTCTGCCCAAGGTGTGACCATGAACTCAAACCTCTGAGATTGTGAGCCAAATAAATCTCTCCTTCCTTAAGTTGCTTCTATCAGGCATTTGGTTCATAGCTATATAAAGTCACTAACATACCCAGTGGTGCAAGGGCCAGTGTGATCCAGGGAAGAAAGAAGAGGTCTTTAACTCTGCCTCTTAGGTTGTCTCTGGAGGGGGCAAGGGACCTGAGTGTCATATCTTCCATCTGAATATCAGCTATGATTATTATGCTTCAAGGATTGTCCTGCTAAGGAAATTTGGAATTTATTTTTCAGTGGAATATGTCTTCTGGTTGGGTGAATATTAGGCTCACTTCTGTTAATTGGGAAGCCAGGGAAAACAAGATAGAGAAGTGAGTAAGGAGAAGGGTCTGTGATGAGTGTTTTGATAAGAAATATCCAATATAGATGCCAATGAGAGAGTTTGGAGAAATAAAGGAAAAGAAAAAAAGAGATGAAGAAATGTTCTTTTTTCTTAGGATTGTTGGGGAGAATTCTAGAAAGATAGAAATTTGGTTCCATGGCCGGATGTATCTGAACATGGGAAGTCATTGAGTGGGTCTTTGGGATCAAGGTATCTGGGAACCATCTGTAAATTTTACAGTGTGTGGTGCAGTAAAAGACAGAAAAAATCCACCTATCCAGATGACTCAGCACTTTCAGAGAGGCTTCCAATAGGGATACCAGATGCCTAAGGGCATTAGTTAACTCTCCTCAGGCTTCCCTGGAGTCTTTGCTTCTTCCGTGGCATTTGATATGTTCTGCCTTACAGTGGAGGGTATATAGTGTGTATTATCCTAATTTGTCAACTCCTCTGTAATACCCTGCACCTCATCAATGCGCAATAAATGCCTAGAGTCTCAGCTGATAAAGGCTGGGGACAGTTCACTGCGCATTGCCATGACGTGGGTAGGGATGTCAGCAGGTCCCTTGGAGATGGTGTGAACTTAAGCCAGGTCTCCAGAGTGGTTGCATTCCTCTAGGGGAGGCAGTGTTGGTGCCTCTTCAGGTGTTGCCCTACTCTTGAGTGTGTCTGGGGAGCCATGTATGTTGGCATCCACACCATCCTGAGCAGTCCAGCTATTCCTTCTCTCAAGGACATGGCCCCAAGGTAAAGCCTTGTCCTGAGTTCTTTCTCTTCAGCTTTTCACTCAGCCAGTGTCATTTTCTTGCCTGTTCTTTGCACATGGCTTTTCAGAGAAGGCTCTTAATCTAAGTTCCCAGTGTTTTGGCCAGATTAGAGGACCTTCTAGTGGCAAGATGGACTGATTAAATTCCCAGGATGTTGGCCTCCCTGCCAGGTTCTCTGGGGGCAGATCAGTATCTGTTTGTTTGCCCATCTCCCTTTTACTTTGTAAGGAATACTGTACCATTTAAACTACTGTGTAAATGCCAAATAGCAGAAAAAAGCTCATCTCTGCAAAGTAGTGTGCTAGTCAGCTTTCTGTTGCTATGACAAAGAGCCCGAGGAGGTCATCTTAGAGGAAAGGTTAATTTTGGCTAATGGTTTCAGTCCATGGTTGGTCATCTCCTTGCTTTCAAGTATGTAGTGAGGCAGAATACCATGGTGGGGACTGTACTGTGCAACAAAGATACTCATCTCATGATGGCTAGGAAGCTAGGAGGGGGAGGAGAAAGGATTGGGGGAGGTACAGAGGCAGAGAGGCAGGGGCAGGGGCAGAGTCAGAGCCAGGCTGGGGTCCCAATATCTCCTTTAGGGGCACACCCCCAATGCTCTAACTTGCTTCTACAAGGCCCTACCTCCTGAAGGTTCACCATTTCCCAGTAGTTCTACATGTCAGCAACCAAGCCTTCAGCATTTGGGGATTTAGAGGCCATTCAAGAGCCAAAGCATTACACGGGAGAGGTGCTGGGATCGTGGTACTCATTGGATGCAGGTGATCACCCTATTAGAGCAAAGATTGCCTCCCAGACATCCTGAGGATTCTCCCTAGTCAACAAGATGCCCTAGGCTTGGTCTTGAAGAGGTCAAATTCATTCGGTGCTCCTAATTGAACTCCGGTCTGTCTTTAATGTTTATGTGGATTGGATGTTGGTCTCAACACGGAATCTTCTGGAGGGCTGGTTGATTTCTTCACCTGGTGAAGACCGAGCTTAGTGACTCAAGGGCTTGTGCCCCCATCACTTCTTAGTATGGTCCTGAAGCTGGTGGATAGCAGAGATGAAAATGTCCAGTCCAACTGTCTTGGCTGGCCCCACGGCTCAGGACTCATGAGGCTCAGGTGAGAGTACCTTTTTCTTAGCTGCTGGCTTGCCTTATGCTCTGTTTTTCAGGGCTTCTCTTACATTTTCCATGAAGGCGAGTGCTGTGGAAGGTGCCTGCCGTCTGCGTGCAAGGTGGTGGCTGGTTCACCTCGGGGGGACTCACAGTCTTACTGGAAGAGTGTAGGTCCGGGCCCCAGGAGGGGAGGGAAGGAGGGTGGTGATGCCCAGCCTGGGAGTTCATTTTGCTGTCCATCAGTGCTGACCTCAGTTTCCTCTCCTTGTACTTTGCTCTCCCCGCAGCTTTGGCATTGTTTAAATTCCAGCTGGGATTCCCTTTCTCCCCTAGGAACTAGTTAGGGCTTTCTTAGACTTCCCATGTTGTCAATTTGGAGGGTAAAGTCTAGTGGCATAAGTCCCAGGGACTTATGCACTCCTAGTCATGGTAACTGTGAGTTCACAACCTCCCTACTTTTTTTCTTTCATATCTTCCCTACCTTGAGCAGCTTTGCTTAGCTGTCTTCTGTGACCACAGATGTTCACATTGGATGCTTATCAAGTCATTTTCCTTAATTTTTTCATTGTTTGACTTTTTCATATATTTATATATGATGAATTTTGGTCATTTTCATGCCCCATTCCAATCTCTCATCCCTCCTCCCTCTCCTGTTAGACCCCTTCTTCTCACCAAGCCCTCCTGTTCTCATGTCTTCAGTGTGTGTGTGTGTGTGTGTGTGTGTGCCCCTGTCCCACGGAGTTTAATTAGAGTTTCTCACCCTAGCATGGATGGGTGACTATTTACTAGTACAAGGGCAACTTATTAGTGGCTACACCCCCTCTCCCAACAACTATTAATTGGCAGTTGTCAATGGTCCCTCAGGGAGGGATGGGGGTCTCATGCCCCCCCCCCATGATGAAATGTTGACTGGTCCAATCTTGTGTGGATAACAGATAACCACAGCCACAGCCAGTACATGAATGCAATGCTCTGTCATGTCCAGAAGACATCTTTTTTGCTGTGCATCTCCCCATCTTCTGGCTATTATGTTCCTCTGTCCCTCTTCCATGATGTTCCCTGAGCCTTGGAAGGAGTGGCTGAGTACTCCACCATTACTTATTCTTGGCACTTTGGTTAGTTATGAGTTTCTGTACTAACTACCACCTGCTGTAATAAGACACTTCTCCTATGAAGGCTGGGCTCAGCCGTAATCTCAAATGGTGAACCAGCCTGACACTGTTTATACTATGTAGCCCAGGCTGTCCTCAAACTCATGGTCCTGCCTCAGCCTCTTGGGTGCTGGGTGTAAAGGTATGTGCCACCGTGCCAGGCTCAAGCCATTTTCCTAAACATTTTCCTGCATTGCCTCTCTTGTAACTTTAGTTCTGATGCCAGGATAAGAACAAGTCTTTTCCTCCCATAAGAAGATGGAGTTGGTAGGGCTAAGCCCTAGGAACCTGAGGGGCAGGATTGGAAGAATGCAAGGTGTCCTCATGGGTCTTCCCCTTTGTCTCCTTCCAGTAGAGTGAATATACCCTGCCTTATAGAGAAGATGGCCCATCTTCTACCCAGGTCTTTCACCTTAAGGATAACTGAGTGACTCATTGAGCTTTTTCAGATAGATTTCTACTGCCCTCTTAGAATCCAGTTACCTGTGAATTTTACGTCCATGTATCCTTCTTTCCACCCTGCTTCCCATTCAACCTTGATCAAGGGAGGTTTTGCCCCTCTTTTCCCAGACTCCAGGGCAAACTCAAAGTAGAGGCTGCTCCATCTTGGTGGGGTCTGAGTGCTCGTCCATGAGGTTGGTGCTCGGTGTTCCTGCTCTTTCTACATCTCCAACATTGCTCGCTTAGTCCTGCCACACATCAGTGTTTGCAAACCCTAAGGCCACCCGAGCTTCTCTCTTCTAACTCAGCCTCTACCTGACCTATAAGACTTGGGTGTTCCCCTGCAGGGCATTTGGGGGTAAGAGGGAAAGGGTTCCCTTAATGAATCCCATGGCCAAGGCTCAGCAAGTGCCTATAGAGGTGGAAGGTGAAGAGAATGTTTGCAAGGGTTTGACATATTCCAATTTACACCTGAAAAGATAGGATGGTGAGCAGACATTGGGAGAAATGAGTCCGAGGCCTAGAAAAGCAGAGTGCAGCCACTTTCGCGTCTGGGTGTTGCCTGTCCAGACAGTGTTCATTGTAATGTGCTTTCCAGACAGAACCTCCTGGTGATTTTTCCTTTTTATCCTCCCTCCCTCCCTCCCTTTCTTCCTTTCTGTCTTTTTTTTTGATACAGGGCCTCCCTGTAGGCCCAGCTGGTCTGGAACTCACTATCTAGACCAGGCTGGCCTTGAACTCACCTGCCTCTGCCTCCAGAGTGCTGGGATTAAAGGTGTGTACCACCACGCCTGGCCATTTTCTTTCTTTTATTTGATAGAGTTTTGCTGTGTATCCTAGATTGGCCTTGAATTCATGATCCTCCTGCCTCAGTCTTCTGAGTGCCAAGATTATAGATATGTGGCTCCTGGGGATTTTTCTGAACCATGATCTCAGCCCTTTCAATTGTTTTTGCCATCATAGAGCAGGAGGACTGAGCACCATAGCGACCAGCACTCAGACTGAGCACAGACCAGCACTCAGCCCTTTCAGGCCAGGCCATCCATCTGTGGTCTTAGATACTTCTGGAACAGTTTTTAGAACCCCATGGGTTGGGGACCAGCATTTCCCAGCCTCCTGCCAGTTCTCCATACAGGTGGGAAGAAGCAACAGGCTGGGACGTGGGAAGCTTCCTCTCTGCCTCACGCCTGTGCCAGCTCACACTGTTGTTCTAGAGTGCCCCTGATGTCTCAGTTGAACTCAGAGCCAATGCTGAGAATGGCAGGGAATGTCCCCTGGCTTCTCTAAGGTGCTACTCTGGTTGACAGTGGTAGTGTAGGGGACGTGTGACTGAGCCAGGAGCTGATCAGGGAAGCTTGAACCCAGACTTATTGAGATGAGCCTGTTCATCCCCTCTGGACCTTATCCTGTGCTTTGACTTTTGGTCTGGATGAGGGCTCACCTCCAGAGCCCAGATAACTCCTGAAGAACAGCATGCTGCCCAGCTGTTGAGCCTCAGCCTTGCCTGGCGCGTTTGATGGCCTCTGGTGCTCTGCAGGTTGGCTCTCATTGGGCTGCCCCTGAGGATCCCTGCCTTATCAACGAGTGTGTTCGAGTGAAGGAGGAGGTCTTTGTGCAGCAGAGGAATGTCTCTTGCCCCCAGCTGGTCGTCCCCACCTGCCCTACAGGCTTCCGGCTGAGCTGTAAGACCTCAGCTTGCTGCCCCAGCTGTGGCTGTGGTGAGTCATGCTGGCCTGGGCCTGCCTTCAGGCCTCTTTCCTCCTCACCTCAGGCTCCTGAGTTCTTTGCCTTTTTCAACAACTCAAAGAAATCGGCACAATGAAAACCTCCCCTTTTTTCCAATGCATTCTGTTCAATGCATTTGTGAGAGAGCAGATGAGAGGAAATGAGGGCAGTTTTCTGCAGGTCTCTGCCCAGCTCTAAACCCAGTGATGGCTTTTTACCGCTGTCTCATTGCCCTGCTCATGGTGCTGAGTGGTAGACAGGGGCTGGACTGGACTTCTCTGATTTTGGAGACCACCTTTTTAGAAAACTTTTTATTGCGCTTTTGTACATTTTATACAACAGTTCTTAATCAAATTTAGAACCCCTCCCCCAGCTGTGCCCCTGCCCCGGCAACTGGTCCTCTTGCATTCCGACATACGTCAATTTCTATCTGGTCAAGCATTTGTACCTAGATGTACTTCAGTGCAAATTCATCCACTGGAGTCTAGTCAGCCTATCTAGCGATCTTAACAGTAGACTTCCCTGAGACCACTCTTTTAATGGTGCTCTAAAGTGTCACTTAGGGGAAGGCATTGCCACCCTTAAACCCTGCTGACTGACAGACAGACAAGCACACAGAAGCAAACACTAACACCCTCCACCAGCCTCCTCTGAATTCTTTGTGAGTCCTAAGGGCAGTAGAGCTTCATTCTTTTGCACACTTAAAGAACGACCCCCCCCCCAATTCCTTAAATATAAGCTCAATTAAACCAGTGCCCCAGAAGCTGTGGATAATACACTAGGCTCTTTTTTCTGTGGGATGGGTGGTATGGAATCACGCAGCCCTGATCCCCTGGTGGGAACGGGAAGGGAGGCCACTGAGGCCCAGGCAGGAAGACTCACAACACCCTAGAGTGAGGTGGAGGAGAAGGATCAGGAGACAGAAAAGAGAGGCTGGGACATGGAGAAGGCACAGAGGGGAAGTGGCCTGGCGTGTGGTTTAGTGAGGGTGTGTTTGTATTCACATGTTGCTTCTCTCCCCAGAGCCTGTGGAGGCCTGCCTGCTCAATGGCACCATCGTTGGGGTGAGCTGGAAGCAGTGTGGGATGGAATATGGATTGCCGAGGGAAGGGTGGCAACCTAGTCTAAGGTGGGAATGAAAGGAAGCCTGGGGATCTCTTCCCAGAACCCAAAGGACTTCCTAGCCTCCCCATTAAGTCCTGGCTGCTGTCCTGCACTCACCTTCTGGCCAGCACCCCAGGCATGTGGTCATGTCTTTGTACATGGAGAAGCACTTTGAAGTCACAGAGCACATTTCCATCTCTCTTTCTCTCCCACTGTCTGCTTGCCTGTCTTTAATCTTACCCTCTCCATACTTCAGGTGGGAGGACAGGAGGGGATGGCCACCAGAAACAGGAGGTGCATCTCAGTGATGGCTGGTGGGAGGCATGGGAAAGTACACAGGCTTGAGGGGATGAAGTGGGAGAGGACTTGGGCTGCCAGGGAGGCCTGACTCTGGTCTTCTGTTTCCAGCCTGGGAAGAGTGTGATGGTTGACATGTGCACGACCTGCCTCTGCACTGTGCAGGTGGGAGCCATCTCTGGATTCAAGCTGGAGTGCAGGAAGACCACCTGCGAGGCCTGCCCCCCGGTAAGGGAGAGTATGGGGTGTCAGGGGGTGCCCTGGACTCTGTGGGATTCAACTAATGGGATCTCACTGGGTTCTTTAAATCTCTATTTTGTTTCTGATTATGGGAAATATCTGACAACTATCAGGACATCTACTCAAACTGCATCTCTCAGAAATCATTACAATTTAGTTTTATAAATTTTAAGAATTTTCTTCTTATGTTTTCAAAATAAACTTTTTTGGGGGGTCTTTTTGAGACAGGGTCTCCCTGTAGCCCCAGCTGGCCTGGAACTCACTATGTAGATCAGGCTGGCCTTGAACTCACAGAGATTCATCTGTTTCTGCCTCCCGAGTGCTTAAGGGTATGTGCCACTACGCCCTGCTTAAAATAAACTTTTTTTTTGAGGCTTATGAGGACTCACAGTGTTCTATACCTTTAAAAACACATTTTAAGAGCCATCATCACCATTCTTTGGAAACATTAAATATTAGTACTTACTAACAAGTACTTATTAGACCCTTGCAATGTTCAGTGCTCTACACAACTATCATCTTAATGGATGGGCTTCAGTGTACATAATTTGCCTTTACTTAGACATTTCAGCCATTTAAAATAGTCATTCTGGGGCTGGGGAGTTGGCTCAGTGGGTAAGGCATTTATAATGCAAGCATGAAGACCTGAGTTCAGATCCCCAGAGCCCATGTAAAGCTGAGCACAGTGGCAGATGTCTGTGCTCCTAGTGATTCTACAGAGAGGTAGGAGATGGAAATGGGAAGGTTCCCGGCAGCTTTTGGACCAGTTTGCCTGGTGTATGCATTGGTGAGCAGCAAAGAGACCCTGCCTTAGATAATGTGGACAATTGAAGTTGTCCTGAAGTTGTCCTCTGACCTCCATAAACAGCCTGTGGCATGTGTGTGCCCACACCCCCTCCCACGTGTGCACACACACATAGACACACACATACACACATTCATCTTGTTTTTGCCAAGTTGTGATGACTACTTGTTCGAAAATTTCCTTAAGGTGGATTCTGCCAGTTGATCAATTTCTAATTTGTAGATGAAAATGAGTGTTTCATTATTTTAGCTTTATTTATTTTTATTTTAAAGATATTTTACTTATTTTTATTTTATGTGTATGAGTGTATTACCTGCATGTATGTAAGACTGTTTGTGTTATACAATGCCCATGGAGGCCAGAGAGGGTGTTGAATCCCTTGGAACTGGAGTTACAGATGGCTGTTAGCCACCATGTGGGTGCTGGGAACCAAACCTAGATCCTCTGGAAGAGCAACCAGTGCTCTTAACTGCTGAGTCATCTCTCCAGCCCCTTTAAAATAATTTTTTAATTGGCACATAAAAATGTTACGTGTTTATGGGGTATCAATGAGATGTTATTGTTTTAATTATGATTTTTAATTCCACCTAACTGGGATGTTATAGGTCCCGCATAGGCTGGCAGGACAAAAAGGCACAGAGGCCTCAGCCTCTCCCTCAAGCCACCCTCTGTGTTTTTAACTTTTTTTGATTTACTTATTTTTATTTTATGTGTATGAGTATTTTGCCTGCATGTAAGTGCAGTATGTGTGCAGTGCCTGGGGAGGCCAGAAGAGGGCGTCGGATCCCCTAGAACTGGATTACAAATTGTTTTTTGCCTCTGGGTGGGTGCTGGGAACTGAATTCAGCTCCTCTGCAAGAGCAGGCTCTCCAGCCCTGGCTTCTGCTGTTTTAGATAATACTCTGGTAGATGAGTTTTCTGTGAACTAGGGGGCAGAGAATATAGTAACTCAGATGACGCCAGGTGAGGTTTATTCCTATTGGCTTTATGAAGCCATAGGCTGGACCCTGGTAAGCAAGGCAGAGCAGAGGGGAAGGGGCATTTGGAGGGGACGGGGACAGGACAAGAAACAGGTCGGACCTGAGAGGTTGTGTGGGTGCTTTCTACCTTTATCAGAACCAAAGGAGGGTTTAATGAAAGGTCTGTGGAATGAACGAGCCTGCAGTAGACACAACTCTTTCTCATTTTTTATATTTTATTATTTTTATTTTATGTGAACAAGTGTATCGCCTGCATGTGTGTGAGTGCACCTGTGTCATGCAGTGCTGCGGAGGTCAGAAGAGGGCTTCGGATTCCCCTGGACCTGGAGTTATGGACGGATTGTAGCCACCATGTGGGTGCTAGGAATCGAACCTGGGTCCTCTGCAAGAGCAGTCAGTGTTCTTAAATGCTGAGCCATCTCTCCAGCTCCAACTCTTGCTTTTTTTAAAAAAAATTATTTTATGTTTATGAGTGTTTTGCTTTCATATATATAAGTGTACAATGTGCATGCAATGCCTGCAGAGATCAGAAGACAGTGTCAGATTCCCTGGAACTGGAGTTACAGATGGTTGTTAGCTGCCATGTGAGTGCTGGGAACTGAGCCCAGGTCTTCTCCAAGAGCAGGCAGTGCTCTTAGCTGCTGAGCCACATCTCCAGCCCTAGACACCACAGTTCTTTCTGAGAGCATGACTCAGAATTTCTCTGCCCCTATTAGAAACTAATTAAATACATTTTTTTTTCTTTTAAGCATCTCAGTTGATGTTTTAGGCCTTGGCGTTCATAGGGGGTGTCAAACAATGCCCCCCACAACCTCTGCTCTTCAGTATGGAGTTGAACAGCCTGTCTGGAATTACATGCCATCCCTTTAGCTCTGGTTATCCACTGACCTGCATTCCAGGCAGTGAGGAGACAGACTAAGAGATTGATATCCACGCTATCTGGAAGCTGAGGGGGGCTGTAGTCTGTGTCACAGATGGCTGTAGCCTGTCACCTCTCCTAGCAGTGCCCCCTGGTGTTCAGAAGGTATGGCACGGTCACTTCTGCCCCAAGAGATTCTGCCTTAGAATCTAGTCTGTATGTAGATGGGCTAAATATTTTCAAACTCTTGTCCCATTTGGCTTGTATTATTCCTGGTTTCTTTCAACCTTCTGATATCTCATCAGGGCAGCCCTTCCTCTTGAGAATCCCTAGATGAGGCTTCCTTCCTTCTATGTGTTTCTCAAACTTTGCTGAGACCTGTCAGCTGGCCCCACTGGAGCTCAGCGTCCTTAATTGGCCTTAGTAGTCCTTGGCCTCAGTGAGGCCTCTGGGAATGGGGCATCTGCAGTGAATGTCATTTAGGTAGGCCTACTTGAGCTGCCTTTGCTAGGCTTCTTTGTTAGCGTTGCCTGGCGTGTGAGGTCTCTGTTGCCTCCTATGGGAGACGAGGCTTCTACCTACGGGGAAACCAGAAAATGTGGCTTGCGCCAATCAGTGGTGAAGATGATCAGATAAGCATGAGCAAGAGAGGCCACCCTGCCATGGGCCACTCAGCTGAACCAGAGCTGACTTTCCACAAATTGAAAGGAAAGTCCAGGATGAGGGTCTATATGGAAGTGTACGGAACATAGGCAGTTGATGGAGGTGTACAGACCACATACCCGCTGGTGGTGGCTGCCAGGATGCTCAGCAGGGCTCAGACAAGTCCTCTTCCTGTCCTTTCATTGTCCAGGGCCTGGTGGCTGCTGCAGTCTGCTTTACAGGGCAGCAGGTGTTGGGAGCGGAGGACATCTGTTTCCTTCACTCACTCCTGGGAAGTTGCTTGTCCCTTCCAGTCCCCAAGCCCCCGTCCTCTCTGAAAACAGATGCTTTATTTTCCACCCTCTTTCC